TAGGTTTATTTTTTATTTTCGAAAGGTACTTTATAGACACATACCATAAAGTCTACAAAAAAAGCTATTTATGCTATATGGGGTATTTTTTGGTTTCAGTGGGAACCTGCCATCAAATGACATATCAGAGCTTATTTTAGCTAAACTAATACAGTAAAACAATTCTGAAAAACAGAATGATTCATGAAACAACAAGTAAAAGTAGCATCCAAATATTCAAACCATCAAATTATTCTGGCCTACAAGAATAGTAATTTATGAATTGTAAAAAGGTGCAACTTTAAACAATGGTGACAAACAGTTTTATTTTCTTTGTATAGTTGCCTCTTGCCTTATTTGTGTTCGTTTTATGTATCTCGCTGTCACTGTTTCAAAATGAGTTTGATGAATCTCTGTCCCTGTAGTGTTGTGGCGTTCCTGTCGACCTGAGCAGACTCTCGTTGGAGGGTGTTGCTGTCCTGAACATTCCCAGCATGCACGGCGGTTCAAACCTGTGGGGAGAAACAAAGAGTGTTGAGAAGCTAAAGAAGTGGCGAGAGGTCACTGTTGATCCTGATGCTCTTGAGATGTGCTCACAGGGTAAGCAAATGCTTATTACAATAAACAAAATCACTGTCAATTCTAAGGTTAAATGCTTGCTTAAAGTGCCTCTATTATGCTATTTTAAAGATTCCTAATTTTGTTTTGGAGTCTCCAACAACAGGTTTACATGCATCCAAGATCAAAAACTCTTTCATTTTCTCATAATATCCATTGCAGCATCAGCTCTTTTCTCTCAGTGTCTGAAACGGTTCATCAAGGATTCAGTCTCTCTAAACCCCGCCTCTCTGAGAGCTGCTCTGCTCTGATTGGTCAGACGGCCCAGTCTGTTCTGATTGGTCGTCCGTGTCATTAGCTCATTAGCATATCTGAGTTTCAGCTCTGGATCTTCCTCAGCTCTTGATACTCAGTGATACGAACAGTGACGATGGTGTCGGTTTTACCGTTTCAATCTCATCAAAGTGGATTTGCTTTGTCAGCAGAAAACAGCGTCTTCTCCACATGAACAACACGAGCCAAACTATTCCAGTCTCAGATACAACTACAGTGTTTGAGGGTCAAAGTAGACGTTGTTCACGGCAGCCGATTAAATATCTAGGTAATTTATGTTGACAGTACTGCAGGTCTGAATATTATTTCTTATCAAATTTTTTCTTAATTTTTCCGTGTATTTTATAAATTTTTCACAACTGTCGAACAAGACACAGAACTTATACAACATATTTCGACATTTCAATATACAACATTCCCAAATGAAACAAAATATTAAAAAATAAAATCATCAGGAATTGATTTTGTCGAAAGTTCTTTCTATAAGACTGGTAGTGAAATAAATGGACCGATGTGACTTCAGCTGAAGAGGAAAGGCGTTTCAGAGCAGGTTATTACATTTTCAAGAAAGAACAACATTTTCTTGGACATAGAAACAAACCAATGAGTTCATATTAAGATAAGGAATGTGTATTAATAAAGTTCTAATAAAATTCATGGTTGTGTTTGTCGATGATGCCCTTCTTGGCAAAATCTTCAGTTTTGACATTAGTCTTCCACACTTAATGCTGTTTATGCTTGTAGACATGAATGATAAACTCCTAGAGGTTGTTGGGTTGGAGAGTGTGGTGGAAATGGGTCAGATTTACACCGGCTTGAAGAGTAAAGCACACCGTCTGGCTCAGGCTGCTCACGTCACTATCAGGTGAGGAAACCAGATCTGTGTTTTACCAGATACTGAACATTTGAATAAGCAGGTGAAACTGAAATAAACCAGTTCAAGTTATTTAAATATTATTAACAACATTCCCTTTTCTTGTAGAACGTATAAAACTCTGCCCATGCAGATTGACGGAGAGCCGTGGATGCAGCCTCCATGTACGGTAAGTGTGCTCTTCAGACGACTATACAAACACACGAGGATCTGTCAAGGTTTCCATGCATCAAGGTTAATATAGAGTCAGTGTTCGTTTGTTTACAGCGATTTCTCATTCATTGAAATGTTTCATTATGCATCAGTTGTTTGATGGTATGGATGTTGCTGCCATTTAAAGGGTTAGTTCGCCCATTTAAGACATGAAGTTGTATGCAATCCTTACCAGCACTATAGTGCATACACACTGACCCACTCTGTTGTCACCTTCCTGGTCAGAGTTCTGGCCGCTGGAAGTTTTTCAATGAAGTACTCCCGGTTATTTTCCGGGGTCGCAAAACTGTGCGTTTTTACGTGAAAAAATGATTTGCGTTTCAAAGCTTGATTAATTTACCACACAAAAAACACGCCGGTCAAAATTCATACCTCAGTTTTAATCGGCACTATTTTCTATCCATTTCTATCAATCCGCGCTGCTGTCGACGTCAACAGTGCGCACGTTCCGATCAGCTGTTGATAGCGCGACTCGCTGACAACATGTCTGACTGCGAAACTTCTGATGATGAAACCAATTTTAGCACAATGTCAGACGGATCAGATGATGAAAGTAATTTGAGCACAACGACAATGTTATTGATTGCAACACCAAACCTCAATTGTGTGTGTGTTCAATCAAATCGTTTTCTCAGCAAATTGTACCAATATCCCTATATAGGCTACTGTTTTTATATTAGACATCTTTTCACGTGTTTTATAATGGAGTCTAAACATCAGCTTGTTTACCGTACAGTTTAGACATGGGATCATAAAGTTAGTAAATAGAGCTTACCCGTGGTACTGGTACAGCAAAACTCTTCAATTTTCCTTTTCCTCCTTGGTTGTAATCGTCTTCGCTGAAGTGAGCACTATACACACGAAAATCCGATGGCAACCAGCCAAAGCTGTCTCATATTCGAAACAGGAAAACGAGGGAATCTGAACTTTGATCCCGGCACATCGTTGTGGTCACAGCCTGGGAATTTACAAGTTCGCACCATTGTTAATTTAATACTTTTTACGTCGTTGTCAATCGATTGTGTAAACACTATGGAACAGCTGATCGGAACGTGCGCACTGTTGACGTTGACAGCAGCGCGGATTCATAGAAATGGATAGAAAATAGTGCAGATTAAAACTGAGGTATGAATTTTGACCGGCGTGTTTTTTGTGTGGTAAATTAATCAAGCTTTGAAACGCAAATCATTTTTTCACGTAAAAATGCACAGTTTTGCGACCCCGGAAAATAACCGGGATTACTTCATTGAAAAACTTCCAGCGGCCAGAACTCTGACCAGGGAGGTCAGGTGACAACAGAGTGGGTCAGTGTGTATGCACTATAGTGGTGGTATGGATTGCATACAACTTCATGTCTTAAATGGGCGAACTAACCCTTTAACAGCATAACAATATTTATAGTATTATATTATTTAGTTAGCACTAATATGTACTTCCTAAATAACATCAATATTTTCTGTCTGTCTGTAGATTCACATCACACACAAAAATCAGGCTAATATGTTGATGGCTCCTGCTAAAACACTGGGATGCTTCCTCAAGTAAAACAGAAGCTTGAAGATCACATCACTGAAGATAAAGATGGGAAAGATGGGAATATTTTAGAGCATTATACTATACTATTTATATTGGAATTTCTTTTTCTTGCCTTCATTACACTAGGCTTGTGTCCACCAGCTTTAGTGGTAATTTGGTTGGCACATTAATTATGTATTTTCTGTTAGATAAGAATACTAAGTATGTTACAGAAATAATACTAGTATATCTTGCAAAATGGGATTATGATTTTGTGATTGGTAATGCTCCACAACAAGGCTGTATTATGCAAGCAAGTATTTCCCATCGTTGGGCCTCCAGGAACACGGTTGGGAACCACTGGTTCTTACAGCCTTCATGTATTGTTCTCTTCTAAAATGTTTGATTTTGAAACTCTGTCGTCATGTTTTTAGGTGTGTAAATTACAGTATGTGTGAACATTTCCAAACTCTCTGACTGTGTGATCTCTCTATGGGTTATGTGATGTAAAATACATGTCTGCATTAAAGTAAAAACAGATAGAAACACATCTTTCAGGTGGAATTAAATTAATAAATTCATATTTATTTTCTTATAAAAGCAACAGAACTTCAATTATATCCAGTTCCATGAGTGTGAACACTTGTGCAGTGTAAGCAATGACGTATACGTCCGAGTGAACGAGACGGAGGGAAGTTAGCAAGGGAAGGGCATAAAGTTGACTACGTATAGCCCTGACCATGGTACAGCCACAGTACTTTTGTAATGTTGTAATGTAGCCATTCAGAGTCGTTTGCACAATCTCACCACTGGATATCAGTAAAGCTGCACAGAAACCTCAACCTCATGAATACATAATTTAAATTCTGTCCTGTTCTGTCCAACTCTATTTTTTCCACACAGGTATTTTTGGTATTTAGTCTTCAAATTCATCAAGTTATGAAGGTTCTGTTACATAATTCATTTTTAAAAATGCAATATTTACATTTTATGAAGGGGAAATTAGGGTTTTCACAAGTACAATATCATATTCTCAGTAAGTAGTCAAAAATCCATACAGTGCCTTTTGGACATTAAAGCTGGATTGGACATTTTTTGTTTTTAGTGAAACTCGGCTTGTCTTTCAAAAATAAACGATCTTTAATAAACTGTGACAACTTCATCTTAAGAGCATCATTTATATAGGCTACGTTATTTAATATAATGTACATTTACTGAAAGGTAAATTTCAGTAAAGCCAGGTGACCCAGACAGTTATAAATTCATTCACAATATGCACACATTCACTCTTAATCCTATGCTTATTGCCTAATATGCGGGAAAACTACACATTTAATGTTTCTTATAGCCTTCATTTATTTCATATAGACGCGGAGGAAATCTTTTTAGTAACATAAAACAGAAACATTCTCTCGTTCATATTTTATTATTCAGACACATATAATAATTAATATTTATGGGCTAATCATTCGCTTATGTAGGTAGTATATTTCAAGTTAGTTTTTCAGAGTCAAGCAAATCAGTAAGGCCTGTTAGGAAGACGTCACGAAGCCTAATTAATATTAATGATGTTTGGTCACGTGACGGATCTCCCACCTGTCATTCCAGAACTCAAACACAGGCGCATCTGATGTCTACATGAATTTCTGCCAGAATGATATGTTAATTTCTGTTTTTATTGGTTTAGTTGTTATTCTGAAATGACTCGCACATTAGTTTAACAGGAGATCAGTGGCATTTGCGTCTCTTGAAGACACTTGATTTTGTTGTTAAGCTATGGGTTCTGTGCTGAGGACCAGTTGGGTAAGTAAGTTGATTTGTTTTTTATGTATAGGCATATATTCAGTTTTATTCGGTTGGTAATATAATGAACGGTCATGAATCAAATGAATTTAATTCATGTGTAATGAAAGCAGGACAGGTCAGGAAAATCCGTTTCTTACGCTCGCGCTTAACTGGATTAGTCATTATTGTTTCGTCCAGGTTTCGTCTGACAGTCAGTAGCGCGCGACACTGGGTCAGGTCGGTTACGTCACGCCGTTACATTCACATTAAGTTATGAAAACGTTATTTTTCTGAACATTCAAAATATCCAGTTTATGAAGTGTTTTATAAACGTTTTTTCTTGGTTATACAAACGTTAAGGGAACATTCAATTGTATAATTTTGTAAACATGTTACTTTCAAACGTTTTCATAACATTCTGAAACAAACTGACAGAACGTCCAGCTGTTAGGCTACACGTAAAAAGTTCAATGAACAATGTATAAAAAACGTTTTTGTGCTAAAGTTTTGAGAATATTAGGCTATAACTTTAAACGAACATTCTAGTGACGTTACCGGAAGAACGTTTGTTCATTACTAGAGAACCTTGTGGTCAGAACGTTCCCTAATATAAAGTCCTGAAAACGTTTCCTGATCGCGGGACACATTTTCCTCTATTGTGTGGAATTGTTGATGGTTGTTTTGTGCAATCAGCTGCACGTTCAGATTTCTCTGTTACTGATAGCGAACTTCATAATGCGCATTGGATATTACACACATAATATGTTATTATAGGCTGTTACTATTGCAGTTAAATAATATAGAATATTACAGACAGTTGAATTCTTGAGAATAATATTAAAGACATGATGAATTATACATAATATTATTAAATAGTCCTCAATTCTTGAGAATATCATTAAAGATGTTTACCACAGATTATTTTTACACACAGATGGTGGTGTGTTGTGCACATGACTTCTCAAGGTGACAGTAGTATTAAGTTGTTTACAACAGACTGAGCTCATATCAGATCATATCTCAGCTGTTTTAAATCTTAGTGTCTAATTAATAAACAGTGTTAAACCTCCTGCTCAAGTCTTAATAACATTAACTTCTTAATATTAACGTCCATCAATTCCATATCCTGTGTGCAAGTGTTGTCAAGGCAAATCAAGTTCAAGTATCTCTTTTTATATCTGCATAGGCTGCTTTGTAATCAGTTAATGACAGGTATTGATATATACAGTATGAACAAACGTGTTGTGTACATATTTGTTCATATCAAAACTTGTCTGATCGTTCCAGTACAAATTTGTTTGAAACGGACTAATTTTCCATGACATATCAGAATCCTCTCATAAAGTTTTGATGGTGATCGCTGACACTCACTGAAAATAGGAATATAGATTGCAAACACTAAGTCATCCTATTAGTATTGGATTTATTAGCTGATTAAATAATTATTTAAGTACAGTTTGACGTTGTTTGTTGTCTCAGGCAGCCGGCCAGTTGAATTGCACTTTCATATGTATTCATATTAATTTTCATAATGTTCTTTCTAGAACACATTTATGGTCTCTTTGGACTGTCGACATAAACAATAATTAAACATGTTACCTTTGTATGGCTGACTTGAATTATCTATGGCTTTTTTCTCTCTTTTTTTTTCTTTGCAGGTTTCTTGCCTTTGCAACTGTGCAGCATGTCTACGGTGTCGATGTTGCCCACAGATCAAGAACTCCATTGTGACCCGAATCATGTATGCCTTCATCCTTCTGCTCGGCACCATCATTGCCTGTGTGATGCTGTCGCCTGGTGTTGAACAACAACTTAAAAGAGTAAGAATGAAGCATTAGTACTAGGATTAGAAATAATCAAATAACTCAAGTAATGTACACCAGGAAACTGACAAGGGCTCATTACATTAGTGAATTCATTAACCAGACACTCAACTAGATTTAAGTCTCTTATATGCTGAGATAAAAGAGGATAAACAAACTTATATTGTTTGTAGTTGATTTCGACAATGAAAGTTGAAGAACTTCTTTTATGCTTTTTTATGTTTTTCTTTAGTGTGTAAAGTTGCTGTTTGAGCATGAAAAAGTCCCTCCAGCGGGAGTTATTCTCAGTGTCAGTGTTTCTGAACTCTGAAGCGCCTCTATTGTAGTCTTGAGTTTCTCCCGGGAACGAACACGTCACAATATTCCTCATTTAAATAATTCATACGCAGAATAAAGGGGCGGGGCCTGGTTGAGTTAGTTAGTAGTGTGTTGAACTGGGGGGTTATGGAAAGGGGCGGGACATTTCCCAAACACACTCGAAACGCTTGACCAATCACAACACACTGCTCCAGCCGACCAATCAGAGCACAGTGTGCTTTTCAGAAGGAGGGGCTTCATAGAGACAGGAACTAAACTGGGGTGCGTTTCCCGTACAACGTCGTAACTCGCTGCTTAACTACCATAGTAGATGCATCGTGAAGAAATCAACTAGCTGTTTTTCGAAACCGTTTTGTCGTAAATTAGTCGTTCAACCACGTTGGTTAATGATGTCACGCAGGTGGTGGAGTAATAACTACTTTTAATTAATCAGTTTGAGATCAAATTAATTCCAGACTTTTGCTATAAATTATGGACATGGCATCTGAGGACTATTTCAGAATTTTCTCAGTTGTTTTGCTTTATTTTTCAGACTCAATCATAGGCTCGTTCTTACGTACTAGAGCACGTTCGCACATCCGCACTCTTCAAAAACTACGCTTTAAATCTCTTGGCAAACTAAAAGATGTAAATAACATTTGTATGTATCTGAAATAAAAGACATAGATTGTACTGAATGCCAGCTTGCTTATTTGGTTTAAGATCAGGATTAATTGAGTCCAGATGTCATGCAAACTAGAAACTGCATCTAACCACGGGTCGAGAGCTGTCGTTCCAAACACACAACTTTGCGATGCTGTTTGCAAATGTTTTTTGGAAATATGTTTTCAGGAAACACAGACTCTTTGAACTGCTGATAACGACGGAACTTGCGAACATAGTTGGCTAACGTGATTTTGGGAAACACACCCCAGACTCAGTGTTACTGGGAAGAGAGGAGCTGCAACAATGGAGAATATGTGGAAAATATTTTAAAAAATCAAGCATGAAAACCTATTTTAGTAGAGCCCAAAAATAAAAGTCAAGACTTTGAAAAAGGGCATAATATGGCCTCTTTAAGACCAAAATACTAACTTCATCTTTTCATGTCTTCATTCTTAGATCCCTGGTTTTTGTAATGGAGGAACAGGCTCCAGTATACCGGGAATTGAGGCCAATGTCCAATGTGAGATTTTTGTTGGTTATAAGGCTGTGTACCGGGTTTGCTGTGGCATGAGTTTCTTCTTTCTCACCTTCTCTCTGCTCATGATCAATGTGAAGAACAGCCGAGGTCCCAGAGCTGCAATCCACAATGGGTTAGTCCATTGAAACATGGACCCAAATTACAACTGTCCATTTCCTGATTATAAACTAGAATTTCCAATACATGTAATCCACAGTTTGCAGCTTTAGTACTAGCATTTTGCCATGCTATGAAGCTATTGAGATATATCTGAACACTTCTCTATATTTCATCAGGTTCTGGTTTTTCAAGATTGCAGTCATGATTGCCGTCACTGTTGGTGCCTTTTATATTCCAGACGAGCCTTTTACCCGAAGTAAGAATGCAACTCATTTTATAAATCGGATCGAATCGGTTGTAAAATGGTCAATTTGTTAAATGGCTAATTTATACACAGCTATATTAAATATAATGAATATCTTGAATGCAATGTCCGTGTTGATATCTGACATTAAATAATATCAGATATCACTGCAATAGGTTGTAGTAGAAGTCACCCTTGTTTCTGTGAGTCCTAGAGACTGTTAAAAAAGCATAATATTATAAGAATCTGCGCCAGTGATGAGATTACATGTTAATTATTAGGATAAAGTGTTTGTGGAAATCATTAGTTTTGATGTTGACCTTTCGCTATTCAGCCAAAAATGTACATCAATTACTCACCCTTATGTCAAAAGACAAACCAATAAAAATGTATAAATGATATTATTTGGGGGATGATTTTCTGTTTATTATTGAGTATTGGCATATTTCATAACATTGCTGTTGCTTAGATGTTAATGTCATTCCTAAAAGCATCCCTGTGGTAAAAAACTATATAATGCATCACATCTTCTTACGTATTGATTCTTTTTTACTGTTTAGTTGAATGGCCAAAAGCTGAACATGCTTTTTACATGTTTTTCGAGGCCTTCATAACTCATATTTATGCCCAGCTCATTTTGGGTGTGTTCATTTCTGTCTCTTTTGTTAGTGTGGTTTATTGTGGGAACCTGTGGAGCGTTTTGCTTTATTCTGATTCAACTGGTTTTGCTTATTGACTTTGCCCACTCGTGGAATGAGTCCTGGGTTGATAAAATGGAAAAAGAAAACACAAAGAGGTGGTATATAGGTGGGTTGATATGTTACACATGTATAGATTTTTATTCTACATGGCTGAATATTTTGTCATATAATGTAAGTTTGAGTACTTTTATGACCCTTGCTTCTAGCTTTGCTGTCGGTAACAGGACTGAACTATATTCTGTCCTTCACGGCTGCCGTTCTCTGCTATAACATCTACACTCGGCCCGAGGGATGCGTGCTCAACAAGTTCTTCATCACCTTCAACATGTCAATATGTGTCACAGCTTCAGCTCTGTCTGTCCTGCCCAGAATTCAGGTAGTTACTGTTAAAATTGCATTTTTACAAAACCATGTTTTTTGCTAGTCTGTACCAGCCATAAATGTATTCATGCCATACAGTTTTCCCGTGTAATTACATCTATATTTCAAGTTCATTGTTTTTTCCTGATGATTTATGTAATTGAATTGTGTGTGTTTGTGATTCTAGGATTACCAGCCCAGATCTGGTCTTCTCCAGTCATCGATCATGACTTTGTACACTATGTACCTTACCTGGTCAGCCATGACCAATGAACCAGGTTAGCAGCTTCTCAAGAGGTTTTTATACATTACATTTTTTAGGAATCGTTAAAATATTGGTGCCGGGGACGCCGTGAGCCTAGAGGCCATAGTGCACACCGTGAGTTTTGCATCTTAAATGTGTGTGATGTATGTGTATATATTAATATAATAATAATAACTTTATTTTGTATAGCGCTTTTAAAAGTTAATTCTCAGAGCGCTTTACATAAGCGGAATTAAGAAAACACATAAAAAAGGCATGGTTGCAAAATACAAACAAAGTATTTCGCACAATATTACAAACTTAAAAACAAATTAAAAGTAAATATCAAGACATAGAGAAAACCATAAGATACATCTCATTAACAACCACCAATATCACCTTTATCCAAATGCTTCCGTAAAATAATAAGTTTTAAGGGATGATTTAAACCTTTTCAAAGATGGTGCAAATCTTATTTCGGAAGGCAAGGAGTTCCATAACTTTGGGGCAACTGAAGAGAACGCCCTATCACCCATTGTTTTTATACAGGTGAAACTCGAAAAATTTGAATATAATGCAAAAGTTCATTTATTTCAGTAATTCAACTTAAAAGGTGAAACTAATATATTATATCGACTCATTACATGCAAAGTGAGATATTTCAAGCCTTTATTTGTTATAATTTTGATGATCATGGCTTACAGCTTATGAAAACCCCAAATTCAAAATTAGAATATTGTGAAAAGGTTTTCATAGCTGTAAGCCATAATCATCAAAATTATAACAAATAAAAGCTTTAAATATCTCACTTTGCATGTAGGGATGACTCTACATCCCAAGGATAATGCACCATGTCACAAAGCTCGAATCATTTCAAATTGGTTTCTTGAACATGACAATGAGTTCACTGAACTAAAATGGCCCCCACAGTCACCAGATCTCAACCCAATAGAGCATCTTTGGGATGTGGTGGAACGGGAGCTTCGTGCCCTGGATGTGCATCCCACAAATCTCCATCAACTGCAAGATGCTATCCTATCAATATGGCCCAACATTTCTAAAGAATGCTTTCAGCACCTTGTTGAATCAATGCCATGTAGAATTAAGGCAGTTCTGAAGGCGAAAGGGGGTCAAACACAGTATTAGTATGGTGTTCCTAATAATCCTTTAGGTGAGTGTATATATAGTGCTCATAAAAGACTGTTAAAGGGATAGTTCACCCAAAAATGAAAATGCTGTCAGTAATTACTCTCCCTCATGTTGATCCAACCCCGTAAGACTTTCGTTTATCTTCGGAACACAAATTAAGATATTTGTGATTAAATCTGAGAGCTGGATCACTCCTCCATAGGCTTCTTAAGGGATTGAAACTGGCCAGCCCAAAAGTTATTAAAGACATCGTTAAAATAGTCCGAGTGACTACAGTGGCTCAACCTTAAGTTTATCACGTGACGAGAATACTTTTTATGCGCAAAAAACAAACAAAAATAACGACTTTAATCAGCTATTCATTTCCTTCTCTGTGGACCTCGAGGCCTGAGATTTCACGTAGTGAAACTGCGCAGCGCTTCTAGGTTGTACGTCACACGCATCACACACATGACCAGAGTCGGCCAATAGTAAGCCAATGTGTGACGTACAACACAGAAGCGCTGCACAGTTACACTACGTGAAATCTCACGGCCCACAACAGAACAACAGAACCGGAAGACAATACAATGCTGAATAAAGTCGTAGTTTTTGTTATTTTTGGACCAAAATGTATTTTCGATGCTTCAAAACATTCTAGCTAACCCACTGATGTCACATGGACTACTTTGATGATGTCTTTATTTCCTTTCTGGACAAGGACAGTATACCGTACACACATTTACAATGGAGGGACAGAAAGCTCTCGGACTAAATCTAAAATATCGTAAACTGTGTTCTGAAGATGAACGGAGGTCTGACGGGCTTGGAACGACACGAGGGAGAGTCATTAATGACATAATTTTAATTTTTCGGTGAACCAACCCTTTAAGTTTGTTGAGGATTGGACCAGGAAACAGTATTCATGATGTCACGACCTAACAAGCGGATAAGCTTGAAAAAACTTATTTCAGCTTATTTCCAATGCTAGGTATGTCAAGGTCTTATCAGTTTTGATTTGTGTCCATCCCTCACCTCCAGACCGCACATGCAACCCGAATCTGTTCAGCATCTTCCAGCAGATCACGTCGTCCACAGTCGCCCCGCTGGAGATTGAGAACCAGACTGCCGTCATCATCATCGACACCGAGGAAACTGTGCCGTCGGCCCCATACCTGCGGTGGTGGGACGCTCAAAGCATCGTCGGACTGGCCATTTTTGTTCTCTGCATTTTGTATTCAAGGTACATTGTTTTTTAGTTGGATTTATACAGTCATGGACAAAAATGTTGGCACCCTTGCACTTTTTCCCCCTAAAAAATGTATTGAAATAAAGTATTTGGTCTCCACTATTCTTTATTTCACTGTTAAAGTCAACTTGAAACAGAAATCGCAAGTCTTTTTTTCTCTGTTGTGTCGTATATCCAAGTAAAACAGCTTCTGGAACAAGAACAAATGTGGGCGGGGCTTGATTTTGCCTGTGAGGAATTGATTGGATGGTTGTGGTTTGCTATTGGCTGATCTCATGTGAGTGACAGGTTGCCCCGCCCTCACGACATTAAGCACGCCAGCAGAGAAGTCACCATGAAATCACAATTCTTATTTTTTATGGACTATAGCAGATTCATCTGTGCACATCATTATATTTTTAACTTTATGTTTCTTGTAATCTTGAATCAGAATAACTTCCCCTCCTTCTTGCAGCATCTCTTCTCTTCTCTGATGACGAAGGCGGGGGAAGCTGTCACTCACATGAGATCAGCCAATAGCAAACCACAACCATCCAATCAATTCCCCACAGACAAAATCAAGCCCCGCCCACATTTGAAGAATGCAGAAGCTGTTTGTCCAAGCTTTTAACTGGTAGTCTAAATAAACAGATTAAAAAACATTCTTGAATACCTTAAAGGATTAGTTCACTTTAGAATTGAAATTTCCTGATAATTTACTCAGCCGCATGTCATCCAAGCAGTTCGTGTCTTTCTTTCTTCAGTCGAAAAGAAATGAATGTTTTTGAGGAAAACATTGCAGAATTTTTTCTTTATAATTCTCTAAATTTCTTTTCGACTGAAGAAAGAAAGACACGAACTGCTTGGATGACATGCGGCTGAGTAAATTATCAGGAAATTTCAATTCTAAAGTGAACTAATCCTTTAATACTCTCTAATACCACAACATAAGCATCCAGATGGGCCATATTACAGTTGTAATGCTTATGTCATAAAGAGCCTCAATTGTTTTGTTGGTTTCTTGGCAGTATACGCTCTTCCAATACCAGTCAAGTTAATAAACTGACCCTAGCAGCTAAAGACACCAGCGTCGTGGATGATAGCGGCTCAGGGCGTCCTGAGATAGAAAAGGCTTCAACACCATTACATGTGGAGGACAATGAAAGAGACACTGTTCAGTACAGCTACGCTTTCTTTCACTTCATGCTGTTCCTGGCGTCTCTTTACATCATGATGACCCTCACCAACTGGTACAGGTGTGTGTGACGGCAGTGCAACAAGATTTCCCAGTCATTACTAAAACACACACAATAGCATGTGTTTCATATAGTTGTATTTAGTAAAACCATTGTTAACCGAGTGATGATTGCTGTTATTGTCCCCCAGTCCTGATGCAGACTACAGTGCCATGAGGAGCACGTGGCCAGCCGTGTGGGTGAGAATCTCCTCCAGTTGGGTCTGTCTCACATTATACACCTGGACTCTGGTTGCTCCTATGATTCTCACCAACAGAGACTTCACCTAGAGGCATTTCTGCAGCAATGTCCTGCAACCTTAATGCCATAATGAAAATATTTCTGTCATGACAACTCTCTGAGTGTTTAGCACGGTAATAGATCTGACCATGTTAACATGTTTGGTCTTGGCAGAGTAGATCTGCTGTTCGGGACTTGCTACTGCTAATACACACACAACACACTGCTGTGAGAGTGTGTGTATTGACATGCTGATGCTGTACAATATAGTGTACATGAATGACCCGTAGCAGATCTACACAGGTGGAGCTGGGGAAGGGGAGGGTTTCTGAAAGCACACGGCAACTTCCACAGCAAATGCTGACCAGGTATTTAAATGTTGAGCAGTGAGCTCATTGGCTGCTGAAACAGCAGGAACCAATCAGCTGTGCCCTATAGAAATGACGCGATTGCAAGCAGATCTCATAACTTTTTTATTTGTTTTTATATGTTTAAAGCTGCTGTCCGTAACTTTTTTAAGTTAAAAATAATCCAAATTAATTATTATTTAAAAAACTTATTCTGCCAGTGTTCAAAACTATCTGCTTGCCATAGCTAGATTCAAAACGGTTAGCTTGTAATAATGATTTTAATTCCAGTGGTACTGGTGGATTTCCGCGGGAGATTCGAGCATGTCTTTGCGTCATGACGTCACACCCGTACACATAAAGGAGGAGTTTCGGCTAGCCGGCTATACTGCGCGTGACGAGATGTAGAGATAGGCTTTTCTCGCAGCACTTTACATAATTAAACTTATGGCGGATCCAGAAAGATCCAGACAACAATCATCAGTGTCAACTGGAGATTAACCAGTTATAAAACCCAAAAGACTTCGTACTTCGGATTTAAGGTGGAAAGAGAAAGAAACCGTCTCATGCGAACACAAGGATTTAAACATCGGCGGGGCTTTTGAAAGGTGCGTGAACTCCCGAAGGGGTTCGAAACGGAAGAAGAGACAGCTTTTTCTGCTGAACAAACAAGTAAGACATTTCAATAGTTCAATCATGTACGTTTTCTTAATTCACACAGTTATGGAGTTTACTTTGTTGTGCCTTTGTCGTTTAGCTATTGTGGAGAATATGAATTCTGAACTACACAGGTAACCATAAAACACATTAAATAACATTAGTCACGCAATGCTGATGTTGTTAACATGAATTTGAGAACAAAGTAGGCTATAATTTGCACGGTTGCTGTAAATCGCGTTGATTAAATCTAACGAAGCTTATCATGTCGAATGCTTTTTCCCCCTTAGTTGATCAGAACAAAAATGGATGTTACTTGTTCAGAAGACATTTTCCGGTGAAAATTCTTATGTTGGTCAAACTTTCAAAAAGTGAATCTGTGATTCTGTATGACAGTATCCACACAGCGCGGTGACTGACAGCAGCACTCGCCTCAAAGCACTGTGTTCATCCGCGCTGTTTCATGCCGATTTACAACCCACTTAAAGATAATAATTCCGCGAATCACTGCAGTTACAGATTTCGAACAGAGATGGCGACAAAAAGGGAAAAAGCTACGGACTGCAGCTTTAATTTCTGGACGTGTTAATTTATTAGTTTTAATGTTTTTGGACCATTTTCCCTATTAACCTTAGCATGTGGTTAGGATGTTCTCTGTGCTATGGAAGGTTGTTTCTGTACGCAATAAAAAATAAAATAGGTAATTGCGATGACATCTTTTCTCTCACAATTGCACATTATAAAGTCAGAATTGTGAGATGTAAACTTACAATTTCGTGAAAATTTTAGAATTGTGAGATTACTTTTTTTTTTTCACAGAACTACGAGTTTATATCTCTCAATATGGACTTTGTAACTTGTTAATATTTCAAATTACTTGCAATTGCAACGGAAAAAGCCAGAATTGTGTCTTTTCTATCTTGCAGTTCTGACTTTAAATTCGCAATTGCGAGTTTAAATCTTACAATTCTGAGAAAAAAATCTGAATTTGTGAGATATAAAATGGTATTTCCGGTGTAAATTCTGAATTCTGGGATAAAAAGTCGCAATTACCTATTTATTTTTTCATCTCCGCTTACTGCTTTAGTTTTAAAAAAAACTTTTCTTTTTATTATGGCGAATTTGTATTTTTTATTTACGATTAAGTATCTTTTATTTCTATTGGTCAGGCTAAATGGACTGCTCTTTTTATTCTAGTACATTTTACTGCATGTTTTGTACAGAAACTGCTCAATTTTCTTTGAGGATGCAAATATGTTTTGTATATGAATAAGCTTTTTTGTACAACCAGGAGAATTCTTGTATTATAAGTACAATGTATTAGTGTATTCACATTAGTATATTTAACGGTGTATTTCCAATGATCTATTTTAAATTTAGAGATTAATTAAATTGATAATTAGTGATCATGTACAGTGTGTGCTTCTCATTATCAACAAATATTTGGAGATTATGAACATTTTTGTCACGTTTTTATACCAGAAACTGCATATTATTGATTTCAACACAGTACAAAAAATACATTTGAATCCAGTTCTTTATTGTTTACATTTACACACGTTTTGAGGAAAGCTGAACCTGTTGAGAAGCTGATTTACATGTATTTTTAGTGGGGTTCAAAATATTCAGCTGTCGTATTTGGGCAATTATTGCATTATATTATTATTTATATTTAACACTACTGTAAGAAAAACATGACCAATCTTTGACCAACATTCCTATTTCAAAAAATAACCAAAGGCTTTCCATGTGTAAATGTAGGTCTCTTCATGTAAGGGTCTATTTATGAATCAGTCTATTATGAATCAAGAACATTATATTTGTATACTTGTTGTGGTCATCTTTACATTTATATGAACTTTTCATTTCCTACAGCAAAAGCTTGTAAAAATAAAACTTGTGTGGCACCAAAATATATTTTATCCGACCATAGACCTCTTCCGTCCTCTCAACCGAACCTCGTCCAGCTTCTTGATGACCGCAGAGGACTTTTTGGACGAAGCCGAGTAACTTTTCAGGAGTTTCTCAAACAAAGTCTCTGTTTTGGGGTGAGTGCTGAGAAAAGCTTTCTCCAACACATACAGGTCAACTCCTTTATCTTCCGGGAGAGCAGAAATGTAACTCAAGCCGAAGTCGATCAGAACCAGGTGAACATGTTGGTGTTCGGCTCCGGGGATCAGAAGCATGTTGGAGGTGGTGAGATCCCCGTGGATGACGTCTTCATCGTGCATCTGAGCCAGGACTTCGCCGATCTTGACCGCTAGAGCCTGGAGGTGCTGTGGGGTTTGCTCTGATGCAATGTGGTCTCGCACTGACACGGAGTGGACAATATCCTCCAGGAAAATGCAGTGAGTGGTGTAGTCAACAAAATACACAACCGGCGCGTTGATACCTGGGACAAAGGAAACAACACGATTTAGATTTAATTAGTCTATCGCATCTAATTGTGTTTAACCGGTCAAATATGCACATTTTTAGAATTTATTTGCATTTTGGCGCTTTATTCCAGCATTTTTTATATGAATGATAAAAAAATAAAAATAAAAAGTGAATGAAAACATTGCTGGTGTTTCTCAGATATCGCTTACTGCACCTTTAATGAATTGAGACGTTTGTATATGAATTTATTTTGGAGTGACTTCGAAATAAAATAAAATCACATGACCTGCTCTCCTGGATCTGGTGCCCTATCTAGTGCACTGACCTGCTCTCCTGGATCTGGTGCCCTATCTAGTGCACTGACCTGCTCTCCTGCGAGGATCTGGTGCCCTATCTAGTGCACTGACCTGCTCTCCTGGATCTGGAGCCCTATCTAGTGCACTGACCTGCTCTCCTGCGAGGATCTGGTGCTCTATCTAGTGCACTGACCTGCTCTCCTGGATCTGGAGCCCTATCTAGTGCACTGACCTGCTCTCCTGCGAGGATCTGGTGCCCTATCTAGTGCACTGACCTGCTCTCCTGGATCTGGAGCCCTATCTAGTGCACTGACCTGCTCTCCTGGATCTGGTGCCCTATCTAGCGCACTGACCTGCTCTCCTAAAAGAATCTGCCCTATCTAGTGCACTCACCTGCTCTCCTGGATCTGGTGCTCTATCTAGTGCACTGACCTGCTCTCCTGGATCTGGTGCTCTATCTAGTGCACTGACCTACTCTCCTGCGAGGATCTGGCCTATGTAGTGCACTCACCTGCTCTCCTGGATCTGGTGCTCTATCTAGTGCACTGACCTGCTCTCCTGCGAGGATCTGCCCTATCTAGTGCACTCACCTGCTCTCCTGCGAGGATCTGGCCTATCTAGTGCACTCACCTGCTCTCCTGCAGCGCAGTATGGATCGCACCTCCTGCGTGGTTCTGCGGCGCGTCAGTTTCTCATCGACTTCAGGATGACGATATAATTTTGTGAATCTCTCTTTAATAACCACGGGCCGCCCCAAAAACGTAGCTCGATAGACACGGGCCTCTGCGCCTTGTTTAATCAGCTGTGCCTCTTTTAAATACGCCGGAACACTCGCTTTTAGTGAGTTTGATTGAGCCATGTTCAAAAATAACCCATGCGCGCTCCCGCTCTCTCTCTGCTTCCGGAAATACCATACACGCTGCTGCTCCTTCTTCTTCTTCTTCTTCTTCTACAGCGCACAGCGCCACCTACCGTTGTGACTTCACAATATTTTGCAAACATTTTGTGAACGTCACTTTGGATATAAATATACAAATATATTTTACTATATTATGTTGCATTATATGATAGGTCTATATTATAATATAATATATTATTATATTACATGACATATTATATTACAGGCTATTATATTATTTATTATATTATACTATATTATATAAATTATTATATTATATTTCATTATATATTGTACGATGTTATATAAATTATTATATTATATTACATTATACATTATATTATGCTATATTATATTACATTACATTTTAAATTAAAGGCTATATTATTTATTTTATTATACTATATTATATTTCAGTATATTATTTAAATTATTATATTACATTATATGACATATATATTATATAACATTACATTTTACATTATAGGCTATATTATTTATTATGTTATACTATATTATATTACAGTATATTATATAAATTATTATATTACATTATACATTATATTATGCTATATTATATTACATTACATTTTACATTATAGGCTATTATACTATATTATATTACAGTATATTATATAAATTATTATATTACATTATACATTATATTATGCTATATTATATTACATTTGACATTATAGGCTATATTATTTATTATATTATACTATTATATTACAGTATATTATATAAATTATTATAGTACATTATATGACATATTATATTACATTGCATTAGACATTATAGGCTATATTATTTATTATATTATACTACAGTATATTATATCAATTATTATATTATTATGGTATATTATATTATATATAATGAGGTGTTGGCCAACATTCCCATGGTAAGTTTATTGGCGTGAGAGCGTCTTGTGTCGCGAGGCTCGTGTAGTGCTTGAGGAAGAGTCCCTCCTGCCACGTAGCTCGACTCTGCACAGACTTCAGGGAAAGAAAGACGCTTTCGAGGAACTTTCCGAGAGCAGAAGGCAGATGAAAAACTGATGCAGACGCTACAGTAGTGTTTCCATGTTAAACAATGACAGTGAACCGCGTAAAATCACGGGTTAAACATCTCGCCTGAGGATGTCACCGGTCTGAGGTGAGAGGAGGAGTAGCGGGAGCTGCTTTTGTTTCGTCTAACAACTGTTGGAAGCGTCGACGCTTTATTTTTATGCTTGTGTTGTGAAAAAAAGGTCTTGCAGAACTCCATTTGACAGCGGCTTGCTTTATAAAACTTTACAGCCATACGTCGACTCTACAGGCTATGAGTTTCGAAGTTCTTTGAGAACAGGATTCCTGTTAGAAACATCAGCTGCGGGTTATTTATAGATAATTAAGAGATCTCATCTAATTAAATCAATAGCGCCATCATGAGAGTTGTCATGGTGACAGCGTTCTGAATAAAGCCTGATTAGAACAGATCAGAGATTCTCCTTCAAAATTCTCATTTAATATGTCATTGTTTTTGTTTTGGTAATAGGTTCTGCTCCAAACTCGTTGCGTTTTTGATGAACCAGCATCTTTAAATTCGGATAGAAATGGGTAAGTGTCAGACCTGTTCAATGTTTGTTCTTAGTTTTAGTACGTCATTTTAAAAGTAAAATAAAAATGTAGCATATCATTGATTATGGGTATCTCTATAGCAGACAAATGACAGATTTATATTATGAGTTATGTGCTTTTAACACACGACTCTAAAGTAATGCAATAAAGATTAATTTAACAGCACAAGATGTAGGCTACCATAAAAGCCAAATGTATGAAAGCTTGTTTCCGTCGTGGAATAAAACAATTTAAAAGGTAGTTGCGACTTTTTATCTCGCAATTGCGAGTTGCAATTAAATCTTGACAGTAGATCTTGCCAGTAAATGATTTGTTCTTTTTCACTTCCAAAAACTGCAAATGTAACAGTATTTTACATGAAATGCTGGCGAAAAAGTCAGAATTGTGAGGTAAAAAGTTGCAATTACCTTTTTATTTTTTATTGTGTGGTGAAACCGAGCTTCCATACTAATGTACATAACTGATAAGAAAAAAACTAAAAAGAAAATATTTTAATGGAAAAAAACCATCAAATGTTAAGTGTCATGTGGGGAATTCTGGAATGTCAATTTACGGGTTTCATTGTAAAAGATGACTTGTTCTTTTTCGCTTCCAAAAACTGAAAATGTAACAGTATTTTACTGTAAAATTACATGAAATCTTCCATTAGATGATATAGGGTGGTGTTTCACTGTGTAAATAAAATAACTTGCACTAACCAATTTTTACTGTTGTATTCTTACAGTCTTATACCATTTAAATTATGATAATTCTTTATTTTAAAATCAACTTATTTTGAGTAGGTCAGATTCTCAGAACACCAAGAAAAGTCCTGGATTTCCTTATATGACTGGTTCAGAGCTGCAAAGTTACACTGAACAAAATTATAAACGCAACACTTTTGTTTTTGCCGCCATTTTTCATGAGCTGAACTCAAAGATCTAAGACTTTTTCTTGTTATGTACTTAACTTTTTATGTACACAAAAGGCCTATTTCTCTCAAATATTGTTCTCAAATCTGTCTAAATCTGTGTTAGTGAGCACTTCTCCTTTGCCGAGATAATCCATCCTCACAGGTGTGGCGTATCAAGATGCTGATTAGACAGCATGATTATTGCACAGGTGTGCCTTAGGCTGGCCACAATAAAAGGCTGCTCTAAAATGTGCAGTTTTATCACACAGCTCAATGCCACAGATGTTGCAAGTTTTGAGGGAGCCTGCAATTGGCATGCGGACTGCAGGAATGTCCACCAGAGCTGTTGCCCGTGAATTGAATGTTCATTTCTCTACCATAAGCCGTCTCCAAAAGCGTTTCAGAGAATTTGTCAGAACATCCAACCGGCCTCACCACCGCAGACCACGTGTAACCACACCAGCCCAGGACCTCCACATCCAGCATCTTCACCTCCAAGATCGTCTGAGACCAGCCATCCGGACAGATGCTGCAACAATCGGTTTGCATAACCAAACAATTTCTGCACAAACTGTCAGAAACCGTCTCAGGAACGCTCATCTGCATGCTCGTCGTCCTCATCGGGGCCTCGACCTCACTGCAGTTCGTCGACTTAACCGACTTGAGTGGGCAAATGCTCACATTCGATGGCGTCTAGCACTTTGGAGTGGACCAACATTCCACAGGCCACAATCAACAACCTGATCAACTCTATGCCCCCCAGGACCCCCCTTCCCCAAATACAGTAAAACTGCCCATTTTAGAGTGGCCTTTTATTGTGGCCAGCCTAAGGCACACCTGTGCAATAATCATGCTGTCTAATCAGCATCTTGATATGCCGCACATGTTAGGTGGATGGATTATTTCAGCAAAGGAGAAGTGCTCACTAACACAGATTTAGACAGATTTGTGAAAAATATTTGAGAGAAATAGGCCTTTTGTGAAAAAGTCTTAGATCTTTGAGTTCAGCTCATGAAAAATGGGGGCAAAAACAAAAGTGTTGCGTTTATAATTTTGTTCAGTGTAATTTCTGTCTTATTTATGTAGCATTTTTTTCTTCTCTAGGTTGTTCTGTCCTGGCGCTCACTATCATTGCATCCACTCTTGGCGGCCTAGTGTTCGGATATGAGCTGGGAATAATATCCGGTGCTCTTCCGCAGCTCCAAGCTCACTTCTCTCTGGGATGTGTCCAGCTGGAAGCTGTGGTTAGCGCTCTTCTGATCGGATCACTGTTAGCGTCTGTGATTGGTGGATGGCTGATTGACCGTCATGGCAGGAGAACGTCCATTTTACTGAGTAATCTCCTCATTCTGGGAGGCACCATTATCCTAACTGCAAGCATGTCGTTTTCAGCATTGGTGGTTGGAAGGGCCGTCATTGGGTTTGCAATGAGCATTTCTTCCATGAGCTGCTGCATCTTCGTCTCTGAGATGGTCGCTCCCAATTGTAGAGGGTTGATGGTGAGCCTGTATGAAGTTGGAATTACTGTTGGGATCTTGTTGGCTTATGCAATCAACTACATCTTATCTGATGTCCATGCAGGATGGAGGTACATGTTTGGATTTGCTATTGCACCATCTCTTATGCAGTTGGTGTCCATTAGGTTTCTACCTCAGCAAACCACTGTAGGCCACATAGCAGAAGATGATTGGGAAACACCAAATCGCCACCAAGCAGAAGATGTGAAATATAGTGTCTTTGACCTTTTCAAAACCAAAGACAACATGCGCAGAAGGACTGCCATCGGCCTCGGGCTGGTGCTCGGTCAACAATTCACAGGCCAGCCAAACGTCCTCTTCTACGCTTCCACCATCCTCTTCTCAGTGGGGTTTCAGAGCAATGCATCTGCAGTTCTTGCGTCGGTGGGTCTGGGTTTGGTTAAAGTCATTGCTACTCTACTGGCAATGGTTTGTTCAGACAAGGTTGGCCGAAGATCACTTCTGATTGGTGGATGCACAGTGCTGGCTGTAGGATTGATACTCACTGGTTTCTTGTGTGGACAGTCAGTGATTGACTCAACAAAACAATGCACTTCATTGGAGCCACATGAAAATCTGACCTCACTAGCGGAAAATCATGAAAACGTGGGCAAAAACTCTGCGGATCAAAGCACTCCATCCACTGGAAATGAAACGCACGATGCTTATGGACATTCAAATATTTTATCGCACTCAGAGGATATGTATAAGTGGATAATTTTCATCTGCATGATGGCAGTGGTGAGCGCTTTCTCAGTGAGCTTTGGACCAAGTAAGTTGCCTTTGAGTTTACATTTGCTGTATTTGGGTCATTCCATGTCAAATCAACCAAATGTTGGAAACTTCCCCGGCTCAAATTCTTTATTTTGTTAATATTTTTTCTGAAGAAAGACAACCCTAAATATTGATGAAAGCCAAAATATGAAATGTCACAGATGTAAATTTACTGAGTAATTCACTATTTTGTAGAGGCATACACCAAATGTGGGTCACTTTGCATACAGCTGATACTTTTTTCTTTTAAAGAGGAATATCTGAACAACAAATAATGTTGAAACTAGAAACGTACAGTACCGGTCAAAAGTTTGGAAATTATTATAATATTATCCCTTATGCTCATCAAGCCTGCATTTATTTGATCAAAAATACAGGAAAAAACAGTAATATTGTGAAATATTATTACAATTTAAAATAATGGCTTTCTATACTTTAAAATATAATTTATTTTTGTGATGCAGAGTGGAATTTTCATTTTCAATAATGCTTTAATTGCATGAAACTTATGTGGTTCACAGTGACATGGCTTGTGCTCAGTGAAATATTTCCTAAGGAAGTCAGAGGAAGAGCCTATTCATTCATCAACTGCTTCAATGTGGGGGCCAACCTCATAGTTACCTTTTCTTTCTTGAGTATTATAGGTATGCACAACAAACAAAGACCAAACATATGAAATATGAAATGCATATGTAAATTATTTTCATAATTTTCCCATGATTTTCATGTTCTCCTCAGATGTGATAGGTCTGTCTGGAATATTCTTTGTGTATGGAGTGATTGGAATGGCAGCAGTTGTATTCATCTACCTTGTAGTACCAGAGACCAAAGGAAAATCTCTTCATAAAATTGACAGAGAGCTTTCTCAGCGGTAAGAAAACATGTTTGGAATATGTGTTTGTTGTGTCTATAAATGAGTGGTCGAATATTTAGCATTTTTTATACCGGCATCGGCCAATACGTTTTTTTTTTTCTGTTTGGCCATGGCGTCGGAAGTGAGACTTTTATTTTGACGGCTCGCCGGCCGGACTTTTATTTTGACGGCGCTGAGAACGCCAGTGCCTGAAATGAACACACAGTGCTTATCTTCTCTGTTTAATTGTTCTGTCTTATATGTTATTAGATATCATAGAACTGTTACAAAGAAACTAAACGGTATACGAAAAAGTATTATAGTCTTGAAAAACTGGAATAATGATGGACGCTGAACTTGTGTTTGATGCGATTCAGCATTATCTCATACAATCCAATCAATGCAATACTCAAAATATGTTATTTCTTTTAGATTTTTTCACAGAGAAGAAGTCTGCAATATTTTCCAAAGAAGGCATTTCTCTCCAGGTTATCAGAGAGTTCACTTGACGAGTACAACAACATGACATGGGGTGGAAAGATATAAAATTCCTCCGTCAATATGGATAATTCTGTTCACTTGGTGATATTAAATTGCTCCACGTTTTAATAATAATTAATAGCTTTGTAGTAACTATTGTACTCTGGTTTATATGTTAGCAATTAGTGTTAAATCTTTATGAAATCACTGTATAAATATATAATTATAATTTTAAATAAAGATAAATTACCCCTACATGACTCTTATTTTAATGCATTCGTAGTTTGTGACAATATTTATGTGGTAGAGGATGGGACTGAAAGTTTAAAGAACACATTAAAATGAAATATTTAAGATTTAAAACACTGATTATGTGTAATGATCTGAGGAACTGCACACAGGATAAAGAAAACATTTACAGAGATATATAAAGGGACATCTACTTTAATATTTCATGTATTTTCGTGTTGCCAATAAATCTACGTTTTGAAATTGATATTCACTTTATATATACAGTTCAAATAAAAATCAAATGTGATACACGCTTCAAAGAGTCAGTAAAATAGGGCCCAATGTACTGAGTTAATATGATGGAATTTCCCCTATTGTTTTTAAAATGTGAAATATTGATTTTAAGTGTTTTACCTGTATTTTGAATTAGGCAGTGCATTGTTTTAGGATTAAAGGAAATGTCCATAAACTTAACAGATCATTTTTAGTGTAAAAAAAAGTTATCAAAAAATAAATCTTTCCTCTCTAATTAAATATAACATCTTTATGTCAACACAACATTTTAGTAGTATGAAACCACTTAAAGGGTTAGTTAACCCTAAAATGAAAATTCTTTCGTCATTTACTCACACTAAAGTTGTTCCAAACCCGTGTGAGATTCTTGTTCTGCTGAACACAAAAGAAGATATTTTGAAGAATGTTGTGGGGCACCATAGTATGGAGAAAGAAAATCCATCAGAATTGTCTGGTATTTCCTTGCCACAGTTAATTCTGGCTTACTCAAATGAAGCGAGTACAAAGACTGGATGAGCAGTGATTCTTTATTACTAGATTGTGGCATAGGGAAGTTATGCATTGCTGTATTTATACAAAAATAAAATATGCCATGGCATTGCCATTTTCCACAGTGAGAGGAGCTGAAGACACTACGTTGTGTTGAGTAAACGCGACTGATGTGACCTGATGTGAGCTACAGTAAACAGCACCAAACTACGACCACAACTGTGTGACGGCAGTATCATTCACACTCGAGAAGATCTGAGGATCTGCTCACTGAATGCTGAGAGAAATACTGCGCTACAGCGCGCTTCACTGGACGCTCCAGTTTTTTAAGTAAAAGCTAAGCTTTTTAATGGCACGACAATGTAAGTAATATCACATGGGATGTTTCTTTTTTTGAGGATAAGCTCTCAAACAGCCTGCGCACCTCTGCCTGAATAATGCATTAAAGGGATAGTTCACCCCAAAATTTAAATTAGCCCATGATTTACTCACCCTCAAGTGCAATTCTGTAATAAAGTACATCCATCCATGATGAAAGTGCTCCACACGGCTCTGGCGGGTTAATAAAGGCCATATGAAGTGAAGCCATGCGTTCATATATTAATATTTTACTTTATAAAGTTTTAAATATGAATATTTTTCTTACACAAACGCTTCGCTTCAGAAGGACTTTATTAACCCGCCAGAGCCATGTGGAGCATTTTTATGATCGATAGATGCACTTTTATGATGGATAGATGCACTTTTATGATGGATAGATGCACTTTTATGATGGATAGATGCACTTTTATGATGGAGAGATGCACTTTTATGATGGATAGATGCACTTTAATGATGGATAGATGCACTTTTATGATGGATAGATGCACTTTTATGATGGATAGATGCACTTTTATGATGGAGAGATGCACTTTTATGATGGATAGATGCACTTTAATGATGGATAGATGCACTTTTATGGATAGATGCACTTTTATGATGGATAGATGCACTTTTATGATGGATAGATGCACTTTTATGATGGATAAATGCACTTTTATGATGGATAGATGCACTTTTATGGATAGATGCACTTTTATGATGGATAGATGCACTTTTATGATGGATAGATGCACTTTTATGATGGATAGATGCACTTTAATGATCGATAGATGCACTTTTATGATAGATAGATGCACTTTTATGATGGATAGATGCACTTTTATGATGGATAGATGTACTTTTATGATCGATAAATGCACTTTTATGATCGATAGATGCACTTTTATGATGGATAGATGCACTTTTATGATCGATAGATGCACTTTTATGATGGATAGATGAACTTTTATGATCGATAGATGCACGTTTATCATGGATAGATGCACTTTTATGATGGATAGATGCACTTTTATGATGGATAGATGCACTTTTATGATGGATAGATGCACTTTTATGGACCTCGAAACAAAAACAACAATTCACTGCCATTATAAAGCTTGGAAGAGCTATTTTTTTTATATAACTCTGATTGTATTCGTGTGAAAGAAGAATGTCATATACACCTAGGATGACTTGAGGTTGAGTTAATCATGGGTATATTTTAATTTTTGGGTGAACTATCCCTGTAAGGTGAACGTCTCATGATGAAGTGCATTCAGTTTCAGATGAACTCATGCTACTGTGAGTGTGGGGTGATGAAGAGCTCTATATAACAGTCCCAGGATCAGTCAGGTTGTGTGTGTGTGTGTGTGTGTGGACGTCACTGAGCGGCTCCTGTGGCTGCAGGCACTGAAGTGTTGAGGCTGCTGGGGGCCATGAGGACGGGAGAGCCGGTCAGGGGCCCGAGAGCTGTGGAGGCTGGAAGAGCAGCGATTCCTGATCAAACAGAGAAGAAAAGAGGAATCTCAAACTCTCCAGCGACACCAGCTGTACTGTGAGCTTTCTTCACATTTTAGACTTCCCTAGTGAAAAATAAATATACTAAAATATATTTGAAATACATTTGTTTTATGCACTTAATATAAATATCCTGCAATTGTACTTTTAGTATGCTAAATTCATATACTTAAAGTGCTAAATTGGAACAATTAATTTTGTTCTTAATGCACTAGTTATCAAGAAATAGTGCTGAGGTCCAACTAAAGATATACTGAAGTATATTTGATTGTGCTGAAGTGGAACTATTGCAATTAAACTTTAGGTACACTTTAAATATCTTACATTTAAAGACTGATATTATACAAACATCATACTATCCTTGCTAATAGTGATAATAGTCTTCTTTACTGCAACTTTTGACCAATTTTGATGCATCCATCCCTTTTTATTTTATATATATATATATATATAATTTTAAATGTTTAATAATTAAATAAATAAATGGGTAACACTTTATTTTAAGGTGCTTGTAATAAGCAGTAATTAACAGTTAATAAGACACTTATAAGACCTTATAAGATGCATATAAGATTCATATAAGATGCATATAAGCATTAACTACTTCATATAAGGGTTAATTAAAGGTCCAGGCCCTGAAGAGATCAGGGAAACTACTCCCTCTTGGGAAGGTCAATTTTTAAGGGACTGGGAGTTTGTTCGGCTGTTCTAAAAGTGCAATGTATTGATACTTGAGAAATTTATTATTTAATTTAATTGATTTATTATCATTAGTTAATGCTTATATGCATCTTATAAGGTCTTATAAGTGTCTTATTAACTGTTAATTACTGCTTATTACAAGCACCTTAAAATAAAGTGTTACCAATAAAGGTTATATATATACTGTATATATGTAAATTCATGCCCCGGTTATACTTAATGTTGTCACATATTTCTGGTTAAGTAAGTATTACATAAAGAAAAGAGACGAATACTAACTCTATGAACATGGAGAACAGTGATAGATGGATCTTTACGCTGAGGAGAAAATCCAACACACCTTTGAGGGGACCAAGACAAACATGATTATGTATTTCTGCTCCGCAACACTGGACATCAACCGCTAATACCTTTACTGTCTACTTTTTATGTATAACAGTTCTACCTAATCATGTATTAGACTGGTTTGTTGTTGTGTAAACTTACCCTTAAAGTACGATTAAATCTGCTTATAATTTTTTTATTCGGTACAAAATCATTATTCTGTTGTTACTTTGATTCCTTGTGCTTAAAGAATTAAAATTTTCTGAAAATTAGATAATATTCATAATAAACATATTAGCATGGGCCATTTTCACAGACTGTGAAGACGCATTTTAACGGTCACCAGCATCATAAATCCTGCTTTTTTAATTTATTTGAGATTTTCATTAAAAAAACTGTTAATTAATAACACTATAGTTTATATTACCTTTGCATCATAACAAGAAACTAGTTAGCTCGCAGTGAGGGTGTTTCTAATAGCGGCTGTGGGAGTGACAGTCTTTCTCTTCTCTGACTGCCGTTATCAATCTCTCTCTATTTTTTTCCTCTTTTTGAAAGTTGTGAAAACACTATTGTGGAGTTTTTCTTTTGCTATTTGTGCAAATGGGAACGCAAAAAATATATTTAATGTATCCTCTCATTGAAGTTTACCCAACTATGACGACTTCCGCCTCTGAGAAACCTGGAAATGTGAAAAGGGTCCATTATCATTGTAATGATTTTAAATGATGTGTAGAGTTAATTCACCTGTTATCATCGTGGCAGTGCTCACTGCGGTGTTCGCCGTCGGCACATTCGTGGATCCTGCCATGCGAGACTGGTCTTTCACAACAGGGACTAAGGCAAGGGGCAAGATGTTAGAATTAATAAAAAAATCCATTTAAAAGTTCTCTTACTAGTAATTCAATAGCTCAATTTATGCACTACTGTAATAACTCCGACGCTCTCACAGAAGTAGGCATGATCCATGGCCTCTCTCGCAGTCAGTCTGGTCTGATGGTCGTAACGCAACAACTTGTCCAGAAAGTCAAGAGCTTCAGGACTGACCAAGTGTTGGTTTTCACTGTGAACGAACCGCTCCCATCGCTTACGGGAATGTCTAACGTGAAGCAGATGTAAATCAGATTCAATTCACGTAAAGAAGGCCATGCTAACAATTGCAGGTTATGAATGAAAGAGGCGTAACGATGGATCACCTTCCCAGAATGTCATTAAATCGAGGCTCCAGCTCAATGTTGTATTTATCAATGCAATCATAAAGATCTTCTGTTCCAAGAACTTTGGCAATTCTCACCAGCTTTGAAGAAATGGGAACATACAGGAACACTGTAATTAATTCAGTCAACACAATGATTACAAACAGAATGACAAAAGTAACGACCAACCACTGTATTCGTTTATGTTACAGAGTATTTAGAGGTTCTTGCACTTACATATTGTTATTGCTCTGATTATATTAATTAATATTAACAATATGTGCATAACAACAAAGACACTGTAACAGTATGAGATTATTCTTCTGAGTATGACTTTACTCAAGACTGGAATTCACAACACAACTTATGGAAATCGCAACAGATTTTCAAACACTATGGATCATACACTTGCAGACTTTGCAAATGGTTACAGAGAAAAACTGGGCATCATACGCTAAAGGGCTTCCACACTTGAACATGCTAACCCATGGATCATTCTAAACCCCAGGTAAACAAGTAATCCTGGGGTTATCTTGCTTCATGGTTCACATTGCTCATAATTTAACCGGGTGGTCTGGGTGAATACTCGATTCTGATTGGCTGCAGGGTGTCCATTAAAAAGTGATAGAGGACACCTAGTAAAGGAGTTCTGGTGAAACTGACTGTTTACCGTTCGAAATTAATAAATAAATGCGCTGCTACATCAGCAGTGAGTAACCATAGCAACAGGCAGTCAAAGTATCCGTTTACAATTTATTCTATCAAAACAAACATCTAGTTAGCCGTTATACTATGCCTACCTGTGTGTTTTAATTATAGGTTAAAAAAAAAAACGAAAGTGTAACGCCCATGGCTAGACAAGCCTAACTTACATGGAAAAAAAAATACGTGAACTTTCTGGCTCGTAAGTTAGCTAAACTGAAGGGGTCTACGAGCTGAGCGGACTATAATATCTCCGGTTGCTAAATAAACCGTCAGGCGTAACCAGGGAAACCAAGTTATTGTTTGTAAAAACGTTAGATTTCGATTGGAAAACTAATTACAATATAAACTAATGTTTTAAAAATGTGTTATTTGACAAGTGACCATGGTATAAGCGGGTCAATGCCCGACGAGGTGTCCGTTGTCATGTATTAATGGACTTCGGCGGAGGCAACCGTCCGACGCGCACGCCCATCGCCGTCCTTCATTAATACCTGACAATGGACACCTCGTCGGGTATTAACCCTTACTTAATAGCCTGTCCCGATTTTGCTGAGATTGACGCGTTCCTGGGTCAACCTATTTTGTGGGTCAACATATTTTTTTGTGGAAATCAACATCACGCCACCAGTGCTGTGATTGGGCTTAATTCAGCTGTCACTTGACCTACCCATCTATCAAGTCCCTGATGATATTCACCTGGTCGTAGTTATCATGTCCATGGAAAAATGGCTCCTTTCTAAAGATCATACTGGCCAGCATACAGCCAAGACTCCACATATCAAGACTGTAGTCATACATCTGGAATGACAGAAGAGAAGTGTTTTTAGGTTTTTAAAAGCTGCCTTTGACTGCAATTTTTATAGAGCTTTATTAACTTTTTTTTGGCCATGCTCTGCAGTCAAAGTCTAAAGAGAACATATGGGTAACCATCCTCAGAAGATAAACTGTTTTAAAAGGTTGAAAGTCTTGGCAGGGCGGTGACTAATAAACACTAGACCTTTCTAGATGCCCTTAGTAAAAACAATTCCAAACTGTACCAGATAGTGTTGTGTCAAATATTATTACAGAATGGTGAAACTAACAACAAAATACAACACATTTTCCTCAGTTGGACATTGTTATACGCACATGTGGTAATAAGTCTGACCTGGTAATCGATCAGTAGTTCTGGGCCTTTGAAGTAGCGAGAGGCGACTCTGATGTTGTACTCCTGTCCTGGGTGATAGAATTCAGCCAGTCCCCAGTCAATAAGACGCAACTGAAACACCACAGCATTCAATGGTCATTTGACATCTATCTATCTATCTATCTATCTATCTATCTATCTATCTATCTATCTATCTATCTATCTATCTATCTATCTATCTATCTATCTATCTATCTATCTATCGATGATGTATATATGACTAATGATACATGGACTTCTATGGAAGCTTGTTTCCACGACGGAATAAAAAAATAAGAGTTGCGAGAAAAAAAGTCAGAATTGCAAGATATAAAGTCAGAGTTGCAAGAAAAAAAGTCAGAATTGAAACATATAAGCTCTCAATAGAGAGAAATAACGCCAGAATTGCGACATATAAACTCGAAATAGCAAGAAATAAAGCCAGAATTGCGAGATATAAACTTGCAGTTGCGAGAAATAAAGCCAGAATTGCAAGATATAAAGTCACCTACGAGAAAAAAAGTCTGAATTGCGAGATATAAACTCGAAATAGTGAAAAATAAGGTCAGAATTGAAACATATAAGCTCTCAATAGCGAGAAATAACGCCAGAATTGCGACATACTGTATAAACCCGAAATAGCAAGAAATAAAGCCAGAATTGCGACATACTGTATAAACTCGCAATAGCGAGAACTAAAGCAAGAATTGCGAGATATAAACTTGCAATAGGGAGAAATAAAGTCAGAATTGCTAAATATAAACTCACAATAGCGAGAAATAAAGTCAGAATTGCGAGATATAAACTTGCAGTTGCGAGAAAAAAGTTCAGAATTGTGAGATAAAAAACACGCAATAGCTAGAAATAAAACCAGAATTGCAAGATATAAACTTGCAATTATGAAAAATAAAGCCAGAATTGCGAGATATAAACTTGCAATAGCGAGAAATAAAACCAGAATTGCGACATATAAACCCGAAATAGCAAGAAATAAAGCCAGAATTGCGACATACTGTGTAAACTCGCAATAGCGAGAACTAAAGCAAGAATTGCGAGATATAAACTTGCAATAGGGAGAAATAAAGTAAGAATTGCTAAATATAAACTCACAATAGCGAGAAATAAAGTCAGAATTGCGAGATATAAACTTGCAGTTGCGAGAAAAAAGTTCCGAATTGTGAGATATAAAAACACGCAATAGCTAGAAATAAAACCAGAATTGCAAGATATAAACTTGCAATTATGAAAAATAAAGCCAGAATTGCGAGATATAAACTTGTAATTGCGAGAAATAAAGCCAGAATTGCGAGATATAAATTTGCAGTTGCGAGAAATAAAGCCAGAATTGCAAGATATAAAGTCAGTTGCGAGAAAAAAAAAGTCTGAATTGCGAGATATAAACTCGAAATAGTGAAAAATAAGGTCAGAATTGAAACATATAAGCTCTCAATAGCGAGAAATAACGCCAGAATTGCGACATATAAACCCGAAATAGCAAGAAATAAAGCCAGAATTGCGACATACTGTATAAACTCGCAATAGCGAGAACTAAAGCAAGAATTGCGAGATATAAACTTGCAATAGGGAGAAATAAAGTCAGAATTGCTAAATATAAACTCACAATAGCGAGAAATAAAGTCAGAATTGCGAGATATAAACTTGCAGTTGCGAGAAAAAAATTCAGAATTGTGAGATATAAACACGCAATAGCTAGAAATAAAACCAGAATTGCAAGATATAAACTTGCAATTATGAAAAATAAAGCCAGAATTGTGAGATATAAACTTGTAATTGCGAGAAATAAAGCCAGAATTGCGAGATATAAACTTGCAGTTGCGAGAAATAAAGCCAGAATTGCGAGATATAAACTCGAAATAGTGAAAAATAAGGTCAGAATTGAAACATATAAGCTCTCAATAGCGAGAAATAACGCCAGAATTGCGACATATTTATTTATTTATTTTATTTAACCTTTATTTATCCAGGTAAACTGTTTGAGAACCACTTCTCATTTACAAACATGACCTGGCCAAGAGGCTACAGGAATAAATAAGAACATACTGTACAGCTGTACATAGTCAAACACATAACACATAGAACAAGTAACTAAATTAAAAAAAGATAGACAACAAAGGGGAAAAAGAAAAGGAATAGAGTGCTTAAATATGTGTGTATAAATATGGTTCATGATTGTCAGCAGGAACAAGAGTCAACTATGTAATTTTCGAGCTTTTGCTTAAAGATGGAGATTGGGATCAGAGATGTAAGTTTCAGGGTATTTTGTAGTATGTTCCAGTCATATACTGATATAAACCCGAAATAGCAAGAAATAAAGCCAGAATTGCGACATACTGTATAAACTCGCAATAGCGAGAACTAAAGCAAGAATTGCGAGATATAAACTTGCAATAGGGAGAAATAAAGTCAGAATTGCTAAATATAAACTCACAATAGCGAGAAATAAAGTCAGAATTGCGAGATATAAACTTGCAGTTGCGAGAAAAAAGTTCAGAATTGTGAGATATAAACACGCAATAGCTAGAAATAAAACCAGAATTGCAAGATATAAACTTGCAATTATGAAAAATAAAGCCAGAATTGCGAGATATAAACTTGTAATTATGAAAAATAAAGCCAGAATTGCGAGATATAAACTTGCAATAGCGAGAAATAAAGGCAGAATTGCGAGATATTAATACAATTTGCGAAAAAAAAGTAGCATTTTTTTCGTGGTGGAAAAAAGCTTACATAACCTTCAAACTCAAGTGGCTTAGTGTTCAAATATTTTATATTTACAAATTTATACATTCGACTTTTCTTTTTTAGTATTATATTGCGTTATCTTGTACTTTAATTGTTTCTAATGTAACTCCAAAAATCAATGGTGTTGTCGCATCTTGTCTGAATATGCATATTATAAACCAATGCTGTGTTGACATGGTTTATTTTAAAAGTCAACATGGGTTACCTTTCTGTGCTCATGATCAATCATGATGTTGTGTGGTTTGACGTCTCTGTGCATAATGCCCATACTGTGACAGAAATCCAATGCCTAGAGACACATACAAACATGACATCATATTAAAACCTCCAGAGCCATTTCAGGAATCAAAATTATACACAGGAAGGACAATACAAAAACAATATACTTGATGCAAACACTTGTGGAGGTATCTCTCACCTTCAGAATCTCAAACATGTAGAAGCGAATGTCATAGTCTGTCAGTGTCTGATACAGTTGCTGATAAAAACAAGCACAAAAGGAACTGATTACATAGGGGTTGTGCTGTTGTAGATTACTAATACAATATTGAGATTGAGATTTACCTTAAAGTCTGTGTTGTTCACATGTTCAAAAACTAAGGCAGGTGTTCTGGACTGCAATGTGTAAACGGGTTTTATTTGCTTAAGTAACATCTCAACAAAATAAATACTCAAAAGTCGGCATAGTATAATTCGATTGTTGTATTACGAATATCACACACAAGCAAGCGTTCTGAACACTGACCACAGGGTCTTTGACGATGTCGAGGAGAGAGATGATATTTGGACCTCCTCGAAGGTTCTCAAGAATCGTTATTTCACGCTTTATCTTCTTCTTCTTCACAGGCTAAAAAAAAGAGAATTATCAATGATCACAATAGAATAAAAATTGACATCAAGTATGTGTCGTCATCACATCAAAGCATTAAAGGGGTCATATAATGCCATTTTTGTACAAGCTAGTATGATTCTTTAGGGTCTAAATTAAAAGTTTGTAATATACTTTAATTACAAATTCTCATTAGTATTGTAAGAAAACACTTATTTTACCTGGTCAAAAACAGCTCTGTTTTCAGCACGCCGTTTCAGTGCATATGCCTTTAAATGATAATGAGCTTTGCTGACTCCGCCTCTCTGTTCTGTGCGTACACCGTTTGTAACTCAATAACACAATAACCATAACGCGTTGTTCAGTAGAAACGTGGGATTATGCATTATATTGAGAACGTCGTACATAGAAAACATGCCGTAATGTACCCTGAGTGTAAACCTTAGACGCATTCATTGTGAAGCGTGCAGCTAGCGATTTGCAAAGATTAATATAAATATTAATATAAAGTTTAATAAAACGTTACACTCACTTCAGTTGTTCTAGAGGTTCAGCAGGAACACGAATATCTGGTACCGATCCTTTATTCATGAGCAGCTTCTTAGCGAATCCAGCTTTATACTGACCCTCGTTTATAAAGCAGTCTGGTGTGTGAAATGATTCGCGCAAACATGAAAGCATTGACGTTGCTCGTGGGGAATATTCCCTTCGAAAACAAACTCAGCCACTGCGTCTTCAGCGGTTCGGATTTAGGAACATTAAAATGACTGTGTTCGTTATTACACCCAAGAACAGAACACCACAATCGCTTAGACACCATTCTGCTCATAGACAGTGCTCCGGCACATCAACAATGACCGCGCCGGTCCGCGCAGACTATGATTGACAGCTGGCTCACGAGCGAGGGCGGGTCTGTGTTGAAACGATGCTGTCAATCAACAATCGTGGGAGGGGCTTCCGACCGTGTGACGTCACAAAATCGAACGGCTCAATTTGAGGCAGGGGAAAACATAAGGAGATTAAAACAAAAACACCGGATGGATTTTTATCATTTTATGATGGTTGTGTACAGGCACTGCCAACACACATTTCAGTACAATCAACTTGTAAAAGTGCATGTACCATTATATGACCCCTTTAAAAAAAGAGAGAAAAGTTGGTTTATATGTGTATCCTTTTGACACCTTAGTCTGTGTGTGCAACAATATGTTATATTATAACATATGCTCTAATAACTGGATAGGTGTATACACCAATATGCCACATTATTAATATCTGAGAATAGCGTGGCTTCAAAAGCCTTCATTTTTGTAATCGCATCATCCATTTTCGTTAACCACAGAATCAGGAGGAGTTGTTCTTACCTTTAGTATCTTCACCACTACTTTCTCATTGTTGGTGATGTTGATTGCTTCAAACACTTCACTGTACTTTCCTCTGCCTAACTTGCGGACCAGTTGAAAATCATCTTGATTGCTGCATGGGAAATATTATATTCAAATCCTATTTTTTGAAGGTCATTAAATTCATTTGAGCATAACTAATATATGAAAATAAAGAGTCTCTGAGATCAAAACTAAAGTCAAAAGAGCTCTTCTAAAAGCAGAGCAGAGCAGGGCTGAACCACAGCGAGAGCGGCAGAAGCATTTAATCAATAAACTGAAGAGGAAAAACAAAAGCCCCTGATAACGGCCCTGTTTCCGGTACAATCTGGGGAATCTAGGGGAACATTTAACAACTCAAAGTCTCAAAACACAACATGAACTTAAGAAGTCATGCAAACTGATTGTGTTTGCCACTGCAATCTTGCATTTATGTTCCTCAAACAAATAATAAAAAACGATACCTTTATATACAATATGGACAAGGAGGAACATTATATTGTGCGTGTGTCTATTATTAAGGTTTAAAAAAGTTATTATATAAAAATAAAATATATACAAGTGTGTGCACCAAATGAGAGTAAAAATCTGCATTGTTGAGTATATGAGATGGTGTCAATAGCCAGTTGGTCTATAATATTTTTATGAATTCTAGCAATGCAATGTTGTGAGGACGTGAACATGAAAAAACGTGAAGCTCGGGCCAGTCAATAAAGTTTAAGCCTTGCCAATTGAAATTTTCAAGCGCAAGAAGACGCGAAAGGGAACTCGTTCTTCTCTCACTGTGTGGGAAGTTTTCTGTGCGCAAACATCCGAAGCACGCACGCAGAAATCCACGTCTCAGACAGCGCGCGGAAACTGAATCCAACTCTTTCACGTCTTCTTGCGCTTGAAAATGGCCGTATTGGCGAGTATCCTCTCAAACATAGTCAGTTATGTCTTAAGTGCACATAAACAGTTGAGAAAGAAAATGCATGTGTAACAGGAACATGCATTCGGTCTTAAAGTGACAGCAGCCTAATATAAACCTGCTGCTGTCTGTCATTAAGGCGAGACACGTCAGGCGATTTTTCATGCAGTGATCAGTTTTGAGATTTTGGGCTAGTTTACTCCTTCAATATGTGTTCTTTCAAGCGGCTATAAAGAAAACGTTGAAAATATACACTAAGATTAGGGCTGTGCGATATGACGATATATATCGGATGGACGATATAAAAAGCCTATCGTTTCATATTATGCCATATCGTTTATATCGTGGTGTCGCAAAAAAACATTGTTTACGGCAAAAATTTGGATGACTGCAATCTTTCACGCCACATGGGGATGCAGGCAGAAACGTGAATAACAGCATGAATGAAGGGGTGACAGAACCGGGTGTTTCCGAGCAGGAGAAGAACCAGCCAGAACAAACCGAGGAGCTCGTTCCTAAACGAGGGGCTAGATGGTTTGGTTAACTTTCTATTTGTTGTATTGACCATTTTAGGGTGGTTTGGATAAATAAACGCCAGTCTCAAATAGAGGCCTGGTCTGTTTTTTAGTTTCGGTTTGTATTTAATCTTCTAAAACCCGTCAGATCGTCTGTTTAAACCAGTTCTGTGGTGCAGATTGCGCGCATCTGGGCGGAGTTGTTAGCGCAAGCAGAGTTAGCGGAGGCCGGAGAGAGAAGGAGATCGTTTTACAGGGTATAGCCTTCATTCTTTCTTGTTGATGTGTTTCGGGCAACAAGTTCATAGGCTCGATGGATATTACCAGTAATGTATTGTTCAGCCCATGGCTGTCACTTCGTTTCGTTTTTTTTTAATTCTGCCAATAATCTAAAAGCTATGGTTATATTAAATGTACAATTATCGTTATGTATATACTGACTTCACCCTGTGCTGCAACATACATTTAGTTGTACATTCATTTACAGAAATCAGCTGGTTGAATTCAAATTGATGCTGTTATCGGATTTTCAGGTGATATTCCCAATTCATTCAGTTAACGGACGCTCTGAGGTAAAGTGTTCAGACTGCAGACTAAGCAACGATTGTATTTAATTGTACAGTACTATCATAACATAGTACAGACATGATCTTAATTCCATAATGTCCTTAAACATAACAATTTGCTGGCCATAAACTGACAGCGCGCGTCCGGTGTGCGATACCTCAAGTTGCTATAGACACGGCGCGCGCGCTTCTCGTCCGGTGAGCGACCCCCTTTAGACATAATAAAGTAGCCTAGGCTAATTCTTAGATTAACGGATTTGTTAAACACATTTATAAATAAAACGTAATCTTCGTTATCTCTAGGCCTACACTAAATTAAAGGCCTGTCTCATAGACGCCTGCCTCAAATACAAGCCGGTGCAGTTCGGCGATTTGGGAAAATAAAAGCCCGGGCTATTATTTGATGTTTTACAGTATATCGTGATATATATCGTTATCGAGATATGAGATGACTTCTATCGTGATATGAGATTTTGGTCATATCGCCCAGCCCTAACTAAGATGTTTATTTTATTACATTTTGTTTACTTGCGCCAGGAAATTTCTCCCGAATTTACCAAGAAGTTAGCATTCCAACGCGGCATGCCGCGCTCTGTCTGTTTACTGAAGTCTGTCATGACCGGTATCATTGTAAAGCTCTGAGTCTCCTGCACAACGCTATGTAACCCAAATATGGGCATTTCCTTTCTATCAGTAACCAATCGTGAATGTCCAAAGGGTGATTTAAAGCTAATGACGACATCTCATTCGCTACTGCTTGGTTGTCATTCTCCAGTACAAACATCTAGCCTATGTAGCATCTATGTACACCAAACTTTCCAGTTATACACTTATTATAGCATTCTGAAGATATTTTCAGAGGGATTTGTTAATAAATCATTCCAGGCCTGATTTATGTGACATTTTAATAAAAAAAATATAGCGAAAATCGATTTTTTAAGGCTATGGAGAGTATATTTTGATTTCCTAGGTAATGAAATCCTGAAATCCCTCTGAACTTTTTTTTTCCATCTTGTGTGTAAACAAAATGAAAAAGAATTTTGCACCAGGCTTTATCATACTGTATGTTCAGATTTATCTACTGAAAATATATGCAAAATCGTGCATATTTAATTAGATAATGCCTAATTTGCATAATAAAACATACAAATTTCAAAAACTTGTAATATTTTTTTAATATACTTGTGTAAGTAATCAACTGAGGAAGTTTCATGGTGATATCTATTATTTTAAAATTTTACCCTATTCACCTGTAGTGTCTCGCCTTAATGTTAATCAAACAACAAAAGACAAAGAAAAATCACTCACCGCTCTGGACTGAATAACTTTTGCAACTTTAATAAGGATTAATCCATGTTTCATTTATACAGTGAAGACTATGCAGTGTTATTTTACATTTGACTGCTTTATTACATTTCTGTACCTAAAAATTGTGAATTTTCACTGGTATCTAAAATTTTGGTGTCATAACTGCCTGTTTTTGCAGTTTAAAATGTTCATGGCCGGTAAATTTTCTTAAGTCGCCGTCCATTATTTAAAAATAAGTAATTATATAATTTAAGTAATACATACATACCCCCACTCAATAAGATGTGATTCATAGTCCCAGTATTCTCTGGGCCGGTGTGTGTTCACCTCAGTGTAGACTCTGGCACGACTCGGCACAGGTCCTGACATGACACACAGTTTGACACTGCGTTTATGCTGCGAATTAAAAATCAGATGGGAAAACACAAGCTGTCTTGCTGACGGCCACAGAAGATGGAAGCACCTCTGGATGGCTGTGGGAGAAAAATAAATAAAGTGGGAAAATCTGTGACTTTGTTAGGATGATACTATTTAAGATTATACAGTATTTATGATAACGAATTATGATCTGTCATGATTCTGCCCTCTTGCCCTTGATTTTCCCTAGTCGTGAGGCAGGATCATGACAGAATCATGTTTTGTGTGCATGCACATGGCTTAGTGTTCGGCCATGTGCTTGTGTTGTCTCGTTATGTTACTCCGCCCCCTTGTTACCCTCGTCTTGTCATTATTGTCTAGTCAGTTTCACCTGTCCTCGTCATTAGTGTTCCCTATTTAATCCCCTTGTGTTTGCTGTCTTGTGCCGGTTCATTGTTTGATGTTGAGAGATACTTTGTGTGTGTTCAAACCGTGAGTTACTTGTTGGAAGTCTTGTTAAGAGAAGTGTTTGTTCCTGTCTTAGTTGTTTGTTTATTGTCAGAGTCTTAGTCTATCCTGTCTTGTTTTGCCCCATCGTGGGTTTTGTTTTCTGTTTTGTCTTTAATAAACCCCTTGTTTAAGTTATCTGCTGTCTGCTATTGGGTTCATCTGCTATCCTCATAACATGATCACCATGAAGAGTTTGAGATATTTTGAACTTTGGAACTAGTTTGAGAACTTAGTCTTAAAAAAACAACAAAAATCAAAGCAACAGTTCTCCTGTATGACCTTTTTGTGGAACATAAATTATAATCATAATCACAAACACAAAAAAGTGTTTTAGTTACCAACATTCTTCAAAATTTCAGTTTTTTTTGTGTTCTGCAGAAGAAAGAAAGTCAAACAGGTTTTTTTAATAAAGAAAAGGAGACCCAGCTGACATCATCAGCTATAGCAGACTTGTTCAGTTTAAAACATTAAAATGAGCTAAAGTAACATAATTTTGGAACATCTTGTCACAACTTAATTTTATCGTGTTCAATCGACCTAATTTATTTAAATTAAAACTGAAGTTTACTTAATCCATTTGTGTTGGAACTACATGAGTTTTTGGTTTTTGTTGACATAACATAACTAAGGGGGCAGTGGATCTGTGGTTCCCATCATGCTTGGCAAGGGAATAAAGTGTTATTGTTTTTCAGTAAAGGGAACGACAGGTTAGTGATTAATGTTCCGTTATGTTGTAGATTTAGAAGAGTTTCTGTAATGTGTTTGAATTTTATGGTGAACCTGGTGCTCAAGAGTGGAGGTGTTTTGAATAGGAACAATTGTGATTTGATCAACTTTGTTCAATTATTCCTATGTTTTGCTAAAAATGATGTTTAGCGCTTGTTGCCTTACAATTTTTTTACTAGAGCGAACATTATGTACCATTTTAACTCGAGAAAATGTAATTATTTATTTAAATATATTTACTTGAATTTACATTCTGCAACCGATTAGATGTTAAACCAGCTTGCCATAGTATTATTAAGCTATTTCTAAATAAGAGAAATGGCATATGATTCAGTGGTTAAGAGATATTACGCATCAATGATCATGTGTTATAGCAGTAGGGCTGGGCGATATGACCAAAATCTCATATCACGATAGAAGTCATCTCATATCTCGATAACGATATATATCACGATATACTGTAAAACATCAAATAATAGCCCGGGCTTTTATTTTCCCAAATCGCCGAACTGCACCGGCTTGTATTTGAGGCAGGCGTCTATGAGACAGGCCTTTAATTTAGTGTAGGCCTAGAGATAACGAAGATTACGTTTTATTTATAAATGTGTTTAACAAATCCGTTAATCTAAGAATTAGCCTAGGCTACTTTATTATGTCTAAAGGGGGTCGCTCACCGGACGAGAAGCGCGCGCGCCGTGTCTATAGCAACTTGAGGTATCGCACACCGGACGCGCGCTGTCAGTTTATGGCCAGCAAATTGTTATGTTTAAGGACATTATGGAATTAAGATCATGTCTGTACTATGTTATGATAGTACTGTACAATTAAATACAATCGTTGCTTAGTCTGCAGTCTGAACACTTTACCTCAGAGCGTCCGTTAACTGAATGAATTGGGAATATCACCTGAAAATCCGATAACAGCATCAATTTGAATTCAACCAGCTGATTTCTGTAAATGAATGTACAACTAAATGTATGTTGCAGCACAGGGTGAAGTCAGTATATACATAACGATAATTGTACATTTAATATAACCATAGCTTTTAGATTATTGGCAGAATTAAAAAAAAACGAAACGAAGTGACAGCCATGGGCTGAACAATACATTACTGGTAATATCCATCGAGCCTATGAACTTGTTGCCCGAAACACATCAACAAGAAAGAATGAAGGCTATACCCTGTAAAACGATCTCCTTCTCTCTCCGGCCTCCGCTAACTCTGCTTGCGCTAACAACTCCGCCCAGATGCGCGCAATCTGCACCACAGAACTGGTTTAAACAGACGATCTGACGGGTTTTAGAAGATTAAATACAAACCGAAACTAAAAAACAGACCAGGCCTCTATTTGAGACTGGCGTTTATTTATCCAAACCACCCTAAAATGGTCAATACAACAAATAGAAAGTTAACCAAACCATCTAGCCCCTCGTTTAGGAACGAGCTCCTCGGTTTGTTCTGGCTGGTTCTTCTCCTGCTCGGAAACACCCGGTTCTGTCACCCCTTCATTCATGCTGTTATTCACGTTTCTGCCTGCATCCCCATGTGGCGTGAAAGATTGCAGTCATCCAAATTTTTGCCGTAAACAATGTTTTTTTGCGACACCACGATATAAACGATATGGCATAATATGAAACGATAGGCTTTTTATATCGTCCATCCGATATATATCGTCATATCGCACAGCCCTATATAGCAGTGATACAAACACATATCTTAAGCACAGTGTAATAAATGTGTGATGAGTTTTCCCTGCACAATACATGAGTAACTGCCGGCTCCCTCATCCCAGCACTAGTCTTCTTCAATATAGCATTACACAAACGCATTTACCTGGTCGATGATCGCAGTGCTGATGCGCTTATGTCCAGCCCGTCGTGGGGATAAATATCCTTATTTCATTGGGATATTGAGTCATTTCTGTCTCAGAGACTCAACATGGCTGTTTGGTTAAGAGCTGATGGGCTTTGAGAGCGCACGCGCCAAACACAACAGACAAATGCAATGCTGACTGACCTAGACTAACAAAACATACACATATTATGTTATCATATCAAGCAAGCATCGCTAGCAGCACCAATGGTTCGATTCCAAGGAATACAAACTGATTTAAAAAAATGTAGTCTAGATACCTTGAATGAAATTTAATACATTTGGATAAAATGCATTAAATAATAAAGAAAATGGATAAAAGCATCTGACACATTGATACATGTAAATCTTTAATCTCTTACGTGCACGTGCATACTAAAAAAATCACCATTGCATTTGTATGTCTCAAAGCCATATTGCACCGTGTTTTTTGGCACATAGCACAAGGTTTTATAATCAAAGTTTGGAAACAGCTGGAATAGCTGATTTTTTCAGAAATCATTCTAATATTCTGAAAAAGAAACATTTCTTCTTATTTTTAATGTTACCCTAGTAAAAAAAAAGAAGTATACTTTACTGTATTTGAAATATATTCCCCTTTTTCAATAGTGCATTGCAAATATACTAACAAAAATTGTACTATCTCTAGATATATTAAAAGTTTATTAGCATCATGTTTTTACCTATTTTCACAATACAACTTTTAACACACTTTAAAATAATTGTACTTTAGTATATTTTCTAAAAAAATATTTTAGAAAAATATACTTGAAGTGAAAATTCAATTTATTATTTAAAAGTGTATTTATTTGTACTTTATTAAAAATATATATTTTAGGTATATTTTAACTGTGTGCTGGAAATGATCATTGTAATGCACTGAAAGTAGGCCTATAGGCTACTTTCAAAATACACTATAGTATAGAACATTATTTTGTACAAAGTAGAGATAAATTTTATTTGTCTAATAATGTAGGCCTACATTTGTTATTGAAGACAAAGTTTGCAATATGTAGTATTTGGAATAAGCCAATTAAGCCATACTTTTTATTCGAATAACGAATCGTGCTTTTGAACCGGTTCTTTTTTAGTGAACCGACCGAAGGAACCAGTACACTAATCGGACTGAATCGTTCGAAACATTTCGTCTCTTGCGTCAGCGCTGATCCACAACTACTCACTTTTGGACATGCCTGACAGTCCCTCTGACTCGAAATAAACCAGTATCCCGGAGTACATTTTACTCCAGTAACTCCAACATGTTGTGCTGAGAGAAGTGATGAGCACGAGCAGCTGATGCGGAGCATGCGCGCACTAACGTTACCGAACATAACTTACAGGTAGGTTACAGCGTTTCTCAATCACCAGTGCTTACTATGGCGCTCGTTTTGTGTCCATTCTTTCCCATACTAACCAAGACGTGTTAACTTGCGTGTGTCGTGCGTGCGTGTGGAGTATGGAAGGCGATTATGAGGTGTGATTTGGGCACTTTTTGGCGATCTCTTATGGCGGTTACTTCGTGCCAAAATCATAATCGCTAATGCTGGGTACACACCAAAAGATAATCGGGCTGATTTTGGGCCGATTTCCCCCCATCTGACAATCCTAGCTATATCCCGTTTATCTTGATGGTTCTACAGATTATTTTATCAGATATTCCCTTGATGTGAGGTGTGTTAAAGGGATACTCCACCGTTTTTTTCATATGTTATTCCCTTAACTAAGACGAGTTGATACATACCTCTCTCGTCTCAGTGCGTGCACTAAATCGCTCTGTCTTGCGGCGAAACTTTTGATAGCACTTAGCTTAGCCCAGTTCATTCATTAGGATCCAAGCAGAGAAGCGACCAAACACCTCCACGTTTTCCCTATTTAAATGCAGTTACACGAGTAGTGTAACTCGACCAAGAATGGGGACACAAAATAAAACGTTGCGCTTTTCTAAGCGTGTAAAATGGATAACTATAATGTATGGCGGAATACCATAGCAAGTGCTTGGGAGCACTTCGACTCGGCGCAGTAATATCATCACTCTTGAAAAATCCTCTCCCCCCTCTCCCTCTCCAGAGTGATGATATTACTACGCCGAGTCGAAGTGCTTCCAAGCTCCCAACCCTGAGGACAAACGCCGGCCGCCGCACAAATGTCTTCAATTGGTATACCACTGGACCAGGCCCATGAAGAGGCCATGCCTCTCGTGGAATGAGCTCTAACACCTATGGGCCACTGGAAGCCCATAGATGCATAGGCTAAAGAGATAGCGTCTACTATCCATCGTGATAGTCTCTGCTTAGTGACCGGGAGCCCTTTGGTTTAGCCGCCGAAGCAAACGAAGAGCTGTTCCGACTGCACGTCTAGAATCACGTAGAGTAGAATCACGTAGAGTATAATCACGTCTCTATCGTCTTCTGATGGGGGAAGAGCCGATAGCGAAATGACCTGAGCTCTGAACAGAGTCGAGAGCACTTTGGGAACATAACCATGCCTTTAGTGTCGTTGGGCCCGAACTCAAGGTAGGAAGCGTTCATAGAGAGCGCTGGCAAATCACCCACTCGCTTGACCGATGCTAGGGCTAGCAGGAGTGCGGTCTTAAGCGAAAGAGGCTTCAGGTCAGCCGACTGAAACGACCGTGGAAAGGCCCCAGGCAGGTGTAGAAGAAGGCCGAGGCGAAGGTCGTTCCTTCCCAGTGATTGGCCGGCCACAGGGGCATGGAAGGCTGCTATGGCCGCCACATATACCTTGAGCGTGGAGGGGGTGTGACCCGCGTCCAATAGCTCTTGGACAAAGGAAAGTACCAGTGGCACTTCACTTGAATAGGGGTTGAGGTCCCGAGCTGCACACCAGCCGGGGAACACTGACCATTTAAGGCAGGGATGGGCAACTTCGGTCCTGGAGGGCCACTGTCCTACAGAGTTTAGCTTCAACCCTAATCAAACACACCTCAACAAGCTAATCAAGGTCTTCAGGATTACTAGAAAGTTACAGGCAGGTGATTTTTTCAGGGTTGGAGCTAAACTCTGTAGGACAGTGGCCCTCCAGGACCGAAGTTGCCCATCCCTGATTTAAGGGCATAGAGGCGCCTTGTTGATGGATACCCGTTGAGGGGCCATACATGGAGGGCCCACAAGTTGGGACGGGGATGCCAGATCGTCCCGTTCGCCTGCGTGAGGAGGTCCTCGGCGTTATTGGCCAAGGAGCTGTTTCTAGCAGCTGTGCCAACTCGGGGAACCAGTCCTGGGTCTTCCAGAGAGGGGCTATTAGGAGGACTGCACACTTGCTCTCCCTGATCCGCTCAGTGACCTGAGGGAGCATCGAGACCAGAGGGAATGCGTAATCTGCTTTTGAAAAAGAAGGCTGGGCAGTGAAAGTTGTCTTCTGAGGCGAAGAGGTCGACCTCTGCCCTGCCAAAGACACTCCAGATCAGATGTTCATCTGGGGGTGGAGAGACCTTTCCCCTGGGGGAATATTGTCTCGGGATAGCATATCCACACCCTGGTTCAGAATGCCTGGGTATGCCAGAATGCCTCTCAGCGAGCGCAGGTTGGTGTGTGCCTATAGAAGGAGGTGTTTCACCATGGTGTACAAGTTGCCCGACCTGAGACCGCCCTTGCGATTTATAAAGGACACCACTGACATGTTGTCCATCCAGACCAAGACATGGTGCCCTGCCAGGTTTGGGAGGAAGGCTTTTAGAGCCAGAAAAACCGCTCTCATTTCGAGGCAGTTGATATGTAGGCATTTCTCCGGGCTCGACCAGAGGCCGGAGACGGGCCTGCCCTCGAACAGAGCCCCCCAACCTAGGTTGGAGGTATCTGTTGAAATCACCCTTCTCCTCAAGACCACACCCATATTTACACCCGACTGGTACCAGTCGACGACTTTCCAAGGAGCCAGAGCTTTGATAGAGCCATGGTTCACTTTGATGCGTAAGTGGCCAGAATGCCACGCATGGGGCGGTATTCAGTATTCAGTACCCCTGAGCTGCAGGAGACGCATATGCAGTAGGCCCAGTTTGAGTACTGATGATGGTGAGGCTATAAGGCCCAGAACCCTCTGAAACGTCCTGAGGGGCTTGTAAAAGCCCGCCCTGAACGGAGCCACTAGCTGTTGAATGGAGAGAGCCACACTCTCTTTCGAATCGAGTCGATAACTGTTCCCAGGAAGGTTATACTTTGGCTGGGAGACGGTAAACTCTTGGAAAAGTTGATCCTGAGCCCAAGGCATTCCAAACGGCTGAGGAGCCAGGATCTATGAGTCAGTAATTCGGCCTCCGATTGGGCCAGAATGAGCAAATCATCGAGGTAGTTCAGAACGCGCATTCCCCGCTGTCTCAGGGGGGAAAAGGGCTGCGTCCATGCATTTCATAAATGTACGAGGTGCCAGGGACAGGCATTTAGGACTGTGTCTGAACTGGACTCTGCACAGGACTATGTATTGATAAGCCTGCCCCTCGAAGGCGAATCTCAAGAATGGCCTGTGATGGGGGGCTATCTGGATATGAAAGTAAGCATCTTTCAAATCCAACCTGATAGGTTTGCGCGCCTCAGCCGCTTCGTCATAGGTTCGTGCAGTTACCGCAGCACAGCCAATGAGTGCGCTAGTCAGCTCTGCTCTGTACAGCTGAACTGCGTTTAAAAATAAAGGCTTCAATTTTCTTGAGAAAAGGAGTTTTCCCATAAGCTAATAGCTACGCAAAACGAGAGACCGTTCTCGAAAGGGAACCGATGAGCTGGAGATACTGAGTATGCGTGATAGCACTGTCTCTAAACCGAACTTTCGTTCGGCCGAACGTATGCTGTGCTGATACATGAGCGAACTAAAATAATTGATTAAGAACAGTTTTTTTCACTGGTAAAACATCCGCGTTTGCACATCGTCTGTACAGGGTTCATTTGCAAAACGGAAATGTAAGAATATCCAAAATGATTATGATGATGATTACTATTATTTAACTACTGATGTTATGATTACAAATGCCTTTATCTGAATGAATTTTTATCCGCCGGAATGACAGAATTGATGTCATTACGTAAGGACGTAAAAGAACTGGTGAACTGGTTTTTTGAACCGGTTCATTGAAACGAACTGTCCGAAAGAAGCAGTTCGCGGAAAAGAACCTCACTTCCCATCTCACCTCACTTCCTGTCTAGCTACTGTCCTATCCTAATAAAAGGCGAAAACGGCAAAAGTATATTAATACACTCATGGCATACTGCTTATATGTTTCGAAGACACTCGTAATGAATTTTTAATGTAGGCTACTTGTAACAGAAATAAAGTACACTTTAATATCACTAATCAAGCATGTAATTAGTCCCTACACATGCATATAGGCCTACTTAAAGTGGGCTATACTAAGTATACTTGAAGTTGGTCCAATTTAGTAGACTAAATACACTTAAAGTTATGCTTTATTACAATTTAATTACAACTAAAATATACTTAGTGCAAAATGAGTTGTTTCAAAATAGCACACTTCAAGTTAACTAATCAACACACTGATAATTAGTCTTGTTGCAAGTATACTTACCATTTTTTTCCCCACCAGGGTAAACACAGCAAGCCTTTGCTAAATATAAGTATTATTTTCTTTTTTTAAATCTTACTTAACCCAAACTTTTGCATACCCGTGTATATTATTTCATTTTTTTCAACATTGATAATAATAATAAATGTTAGGATAATTTCTGAAGGATCATGTGACACTTAAAATTGGAGTAATGATGCTAAAAATTCAGCATTGATCACAGGAAAATTACATTTTGAAATATATTACAACAGAAAACAGTTCATTTAAATTGTAATATTATTTCACAGTATTGCTGTTTTTACTGTATTTTTGATCAAATTAATGCAGCCTTGGTGTGCATAAGAGACTACTTTCAAAGACATAAAAACCCCTTAATGTTTCCAAACTTTTGACGAGAAGTATATATATAATTGATTATAATACTTTGTGAATTCTGGTATACATTGGTCCACTTTTTGACTTATTTTGAAATGAAAATGTTGTGAAAGGGTGGCCCAATCAGCCTGAAGTCATGTCTTATGTGTGCAACTTTATATATAGCCTTTCAAAAGTGTTCAAAGTCTTGATTTTGTGAATGTGGTCACTTATCATCAAGGGATCCAGTGAAGGTCTGCTCTTTGAACACTTTCAGCAGTGAGTAAAATACAAAACCTGTGGTTACTTTTGTGTTGTGGTCAGTTGTGGCCACAAGTTTATATAGACGTTACCTTGCAAAAAATCTATAGTAATAATTAAAATAAATTATACTTACAATATCACTACCCTGAATAGGCTGTTTCACAAACACTAGACGCTGTCCACAAGACAAAATAACAGAATTTACTCAAATCAACTAGTTCAAAAATACAAATTCTTTAGGCCTATGCTTAATACTGAGTATGATCGACCAATGAATGTTTTTAGGAGTTGTAGACCAGTCTCTTGTTTGTCCTGACCAGTTAAACTGCTCACTGTTCTTCAGACAGATCCTCAAGCTCCACTCTTTGGTTTTCCAGCATCGTCTGCATATTTCAACCCTTTTCCAACAGTAGCTATATAAATGGTTGAGATACAGTTTTCACACAATTCAGTGACTCAAGAAGACAATATGATGCACATTAAAAGTCGGGGTGTGTAAATGTTTTGAACAGAATGATTGGTAAATTATTTTGTCCTCTGGAAAACATGTAACTAAAGGTGCCTTCTGAAGGGCAGTACTAAGTTACATAAGACCTGTTCAAAGATCTTTAATTTAGTACTGAATGCTTTAAAACTTTAGTATGCAGTATCCCCTGGCACTTAAAGGGATCATTCATCCAGAAATAATTGTTTTTTTCATAATTTACTCACCCTCAAGTTGTTCTAAGCCTATGAGTTTCTTCTGCTGAACACAAACGATATTTAAAGACTGTCGGGAAACAGTTGCTGGTCCCCATTGTATTTTTCTTCCACACTATGGAAGTCAATGGGGACCAACATTCTTCAAAATATCTTCTTTTGTGTTCAGCAGAAGAAATAAACCCATAAAGGTTTTAAAACAACATGTGGGTGAGTAAATGATGACAATTTTCATTTTGGGTGAACTATTCCTTTAATACAGCGTGTTGCTTTCACAGTCATGGATTATCCAGGCAACAACACTTTAAGACTTTTGAACTGTTTCATTTGTATAAATGCAGTTTTGCGGACTATAAACATCAGGTATGGAAATAGCTTATTTAGAGCAGTACCAAATAATAAAAATGCAATTTTTAGGATCTTTTTTAATTATTAAAATTTAGCAGATTCTGCAAGGGGTGTGTAAACTTATTAATCACAGCTGAAGGTGAAGCAACATGTAGCAACAGTGTGTGGGCTTTTGTTATAGACTGTTCAGTCATGACTGAATTGTAATCAAGCTGTTGATATTTTTTTCATCTTTAAAACCCAGAGTGCAATTTATCTTAATTCACAACTTTTCGAATTTTTCTATAACATATTGAACACAAAATTTATTCATAGTATTCATGGTGTCAACGCTCTCAACAGCTCAATGGGACATGTTAAAGTTGAAGTGTGTACTCTATGCAGCACCAAAATAAAGTGTAAAAATAACCAGCCATCAATCTACAAACGCCTTTTTCTCTGCATATGAAGCTAGGACAGAATTTATCGTCAAATACAAATTGCACACTTCATCTCTGATGTTGTTAGACATTTTCTACCATTGAGCTTCTGTTGTCATTTTGCACAAACGTTTAATAAACCCATGAAGTGACCTAAAGCCGAGAGCCTGAAGGAAGAAAGTAATGAGACACCGATCAAGATTCAACTTTAACCGGTCAGGCCAGAAACCTCTGATTAAACAGGCAAGACTGCTGATTCTGATGCTATCATCACTAGAAAAAGATGAAAGAAAAAAGAAAAGAAAAGAAAATCTTAATATTCCCACCACACAGCATGTTACATGATAGCACAAATTCATTTTCACTTGCAGAACTATTCTCAAATGAGGGCACACAGATTACACTCAATAAGATCATTTGTTATTTTTACAATTTGCATGTATAACAAATAAACATAAAAAAAAAAGATTAGAATGATGTACAGTATTCTGCTGTGCACACCACTACATCCATGGATTCTGTCCAATGGGAGCTCCCGAGCCGGGACTGCTCATTGGTTGCTGCAGCTCATGGGGAGTGGTCAGGGGACTGGGAGGATTTCTCATGAGTCCAGAAAAAAAAAAGAGGAGGAATGCTCAGCCTTGCGTGTGTGAATGTGTTCTGATGAAGGTAGAGAAGAAGACGACGACTCAGTTGCTGTAGATCTGTCCTTCGGGAGGCTGCGGCAGCTTCATGTTTTCTTTGCACATCATGAGTCGTCGCAGCTCCTGCAGGACCACACGGATGCTGTAGGAGTTCTGCCACTTGGCCAGTGAGGACACAGCTCGCATATCAACCTACGTCAACCAAAGACATTTACACAATGCATTAACCAGCACAAAAAAGAGAGATGGAAAAAATAAAGCAAATCAATTGATAGAGCCCTGGAAATTTCTAGAAGTGGCACTCTCACATTAGTAATTAATGAGCACAGTAGTAATCAAAAGTTAATATTAGGTGTCCTCTATCCACCTTATTCCTGAAGACCTCACTGCGTTTTGAATTATGGGTGGCACTTCCGGTTTGGGGAACTTCCATTCAAAAAGGCTAAAACGAATCATTTCAAATCATAAGGTTGCCCTAGCCTGGCTAACGCCAGACCCAATTCTCGTTGAGACTTGGGTCTGGGAACCACATGTTCATTTTCTCGTATTTGAGGCGTGGTTTACGAATGCCCAGAGCCGTTTATTGGGTGCTACGAATGTCTATCAAATGCGCCTGTACGTAGCTCATAGCCAATCGTTTCGATTATACCAGATGACGTATGTAGAGCGACAGAAATTAGACGAGGGAGACGACGATGGCCGATGGGTCAGAGATTTACGTGTAGCCTACACAATGGCGTGGTCGGCGTGCATGTTAATCAATGAGTGCATTCACACCGGGAGCAGCGCGTGAGCGTCGAGCAGCGGCGCGTGAACAGCAGTGAAGCGGGGGTTTCGAATCTGTTTTTTGCTGCATTGCTCACGCTAAATTAAAGTGAAAGCACACTTTTGATGGACAAAAATAAATATGATTTCACACAAAAAGTGCCCAAAATGCACAGATTTAGCATGTCTAGTGAGTTTTAACAAGAACTTGAGTAGGCAAATAAAAGAAAATAAATACTCTAAAATATTTATAGAAGATTTAGGCTACCCGGTAAAAACTTGTTTTTAATTATTCAGTTTGGGTGAAAGTTGTGTATTATATATATATATGAAACTAAAGTAAACTAGCCAGAAAATATTATATATAAACGTTCTTTTAGTTCATGTAACGTTAACACACACAGACAGCTACAGGCTAGCACCCAAATCAAACCCGAGTGTGTGGTTTATTTGTGTTTTGTTTTTATCCGCGGAGTTGCAGTCTTGTAAACATCGAAAGTATGACTGAAACTAATAGATTGGAGCCATTTTCTGGGTTGTTTTGTTGTATAACATTTAACTTATATGTGAATGTTGTACACCTACCCATTACAAACTTTCAAGACTATCAATGTTATAAAATGAACAACTTCTAAAAACAAATGTATAGTTGTCTTTGTAAAGAATTGCTCGCTTATATATAATGCCGAAGTCATATTTCAATGTCTTTGGAAAACAAGAAAAAAACACAAAATGACTTAGGCAATTATGCTATGAGGCTAACGATATGTAGCTTTGGAGCCGCTGCTGTGACACTGTCTACAAACGCTTCCAGTGTGAATACTCTCGCGCAGCTGCAGTGACGATGTAGTTACGCTGACGCGCTGCTCAAATGCCGCTCACGCTTGCGGTGTGAAACCCATGTGTGAAACGGCCGTAAGGCTGCATCGAAAGGTAACTTCGCGTCTGCTGCCATGTTTGATCCATAGGTATAAACAAACTGCAATCGGTGTGTCGCATAGACGCGTCATCGTCTTGCTGCTCCCTCCCCGTTCTGTGATTGGTTCCCTAAATGAGGCGAAAATTTGGTCCATGGTATCCATTTGGGGTGGGACGATACAGGTACCTCACGATTCAATTCTGTGGCGATAAGAGCTCCACGATATGATAATATCACGATTCGCGATATCTACGATATTCAATATATTGGAAGAAATTTCATCAACGATATATCACGATATATGTGACTGAAAAGAAAGATTAACAATGCATGTGTACATATTGAGAATTAATATACCGTAAAACTTCCCGGGTTTTTATTTTCCCAAATCGTCGAACTGCACCGGCTTGTATTCGAGACAGGCGTCTATATGAGACAGGCCTTTATAATTTAGTGTTGAGATGTTGTTCATTGAGTTTAGGCGAGTCTCTAATCTCTAAAAATCTCGAAATGCTCCACGTGAAACTGCGGTCTTCCGACCTTTTACTATCGTGTCAATTGATTTTGATTAATATGCGCGAGGGAGAGAGAGCAAGACAGCGCTCGTGTTGTTTGAAGACGTGAGAGTGCGCGCGCGCGGCCGTTGCGCTCTCTCTGCTCGTAAAACCCGACGTTTCTCCACACTTTAGGGTGGAAACTAGCGGGTGGGTCTTTGATTCGTTTTATATTGTTTTCCGCCATTCTTCTCGCTTCTCTCTGTTGTTGTTAGTTAACTTGTGTTCTTCACCGGCCGCTGTTTGCGCCACTTTACCCCTATTTACTCGAACAGCGCCCCCCGCAAACAGAATGGTAGATATTGGGTAGTGACAGTGACACTGACAACGGGTAAATTAATCATTTTGTGTTGTAATAAAATATCGATATTGGGCGTTAGTGTATCGATTATTTATTGCGACAGAGAGCACAACAATATATTGCAATATCGATTTTTTTTCCCACCCCTAGTATCCATACTGCCTTTCAGCGTGAATAAAATCGCGCTGCGGGAAGGCAGCATGGGGAAACCCAGACTAAAGGTTGCCCTACAAATAAAGCTGATTCATGATTTATTTTCAGACATCATGAGAATAACGTTATACTTGGTATTTTAACGTGACATGTTATAACAAGAATATCTACGGCAAGAGCTCTTTTCAGTCTCTGCTTTCTTTTCCTCATGATGATTTTTATTTTTTCCTTTGCAATCCGCTGTAAAAGTATGAAAAAGGACAACATGTACGGCACATCTGTGGTCTGTTCTCCCGAATTTAATTTACGATATTGCATTAATAATTCACTGGAATGCACGAAGAATCTCTCGTTATTCTCCTCAAATCCTCACGTCTCTTTCCAGGTTTGTTTTCACAGGTAAATGCTATTTATAATCTGTCAAAATGACGGAAATCTCTTTGATATAGTGTCACGTAACGCTGAAGTTAATGAACATTTTTTATTAAGGCTTGTTATACAATACAGAGATATATTTGCCCACTACAGTGATATTTAACCAAAGACTCGTGCTTTTGGGGCTATTTTTGGTCTGTTGAAAGTACCTGTTGATTTTTTTAAACTTTTAAAATTCATTTTAATGTTCGATGGTTGAAGGGTGAGTCGATTAATGTCATCTCATTGTGACACTTTTTTAACATATTGCGTTCATAGTGCGAGCCTTTCACTGATTGTTTACAGCTTAACGGAAGTTACACCCATAATTCGCGCAAAGCGTCATGGGGCGTAGGAATAAGGTGGATAGTTGCTGATGTTTTGCATAATATCTATAGAGCAGGGATTCCCAAAGTGTGGTACGCGAGCTGCCACCAGGGGGTGCGCGAGAGGAAAAATGTAATGGCGGTGTTTTGTAAGTGGGATTTTTCCATACAATAAAATAAAAACCATGAATAGTAAACATTTCCTTTGTAATCGCTTTTATTTTAAATAAAAAAACTATAATTTATTAGTTTTTGATAGAAACGTTGAAAACAGCTGCTGTCTTCTACGCACTGCTCTGCTCTGCAGCCGGTAACGTGCTGTCATATATCACAACCATTGAGTGTTTTCAACCACATAATGTTTATTTTAGGTTTCAGACATTTAAATACACATAAGTACTAGCAAAACAATGATTTTGATTTTGCTGATTTCTATGGAAGCAGCAATATTAATCCTTTTCATTATAATAAGACGACACGTTTTATTCATATCAGATACACATTGTGTACGTAGCTTCACATTTTACCCTATTCTTCTCCCAGTTCACCGGCCTCTTACTTTCATGTATTTCGTGAGAAGTGGAGGAATTGACGTCACGTGTTGTAAATCCAACAGATCCGATTCTCTGAACTGTGGCACAAACTAACGATCGTTATGAAGGTGTTTGAACAATAAAACACATCCACTTGCCCATATTTGACAATCGGAATATCAGTGTTTCATGCTATAGCTAATACATTTGTGAATATTTTTGATAAAAAAGGAAAAATGACATAAAAGCAAATCATCACTCATTCAGCGCTGTGTTGTGGTTGCGTTGTGTCACGTGACAAGAAATGACGCGTCACCATGGAAACATTAAAGTGACAAGTTCTAAATAACGGTCGCCTTGAAAAACTCACGCTGGGGGGTCAGTTAAAATATTTTAAACTTACGTGTGAAAGGGTTAAAAGTGGAAGCTTGTGTGTAGCTTTGTTGCATTATATTTAAACTTTGTTGATGTTGTTATTGTCATGCGTGTTCTGGTTATTAGCGCATGATTAAACATGAGTCTTTATAGGGCGATAAAACGAAGCTTTGTTGCAATTTTTTTTGGAAGTGGGGATTGGGGGTGCGCCAACCCGGTTGGGACATAGAAGGGGGTGCGCAGGAAAAAAAGTTTGGGAACCGCTGCTATAGAGGGTATGCACATGACATCACAGTAGGCGGGGTCACAGCGTTTACGCCCACTGAGTGGCAAAAGGACTGAGTGGCAGCACTGGTGTTCAGTGTAAGTGCAGCGAAAAACACAAAACAGTGGGATAGAGCTGTGCGATCGACTACTAATAGATTCAACAAGAAATCTGGGCTATCTTTTTACAGACTGCCGAAAGCTACAGAACAGAGAAGCAAATGGATTGCGGCAATTCACGTAAACAACTGGAATCCAGGTACAGAAAAGTGAATTGGTGTCAGAAATGTTGAATTTTGGGGTAAAATCATACCCTAGTTCATATTAGTGTTGTCACGATATACTGGAATTTCTAACTTTAATACGATACCTTGAAAAAAACTGGAAAAGATCCCTTTAGTCGTGTCGCGGTTCAAGCCGCCTTTCCGCTGCACACGACATTCGCATACGATTGTCGCATGTGTGCATCGTGACATTATTTTTGAGTGTATTTGACCATAAATAAGCTACGAAAAAGAGCTCATTTTGGCACTTGTATGTCAGGCGGCTTTATTATATGTGTGCGCTTCGGATGTGAGCCCGGATGCTAGTGTGACGCTAACAGACAGCAGACAAACGGCTAGTAGTGACATCAGCGGCAATCCATCTGTCACTCAAGTGGCCACGCCCTTAATTATGCAGAACTTTAAGGCTTAATATAATTTAAATGGATGAGTTATAAAATAAATTCACCCCCTCACAGTTGTCATGAAGGGCAAAATTAGCTATATAGACTAAAACAACTTTTTGTATCAGACTGTAAATATATTTTTTTTGCTGTAAAGTTGGCCATTTTAACATGGGGATCGACTCTCTTTTGCAGCCCTTTTCCATCATCTAGTGGCCAGACGATGAATTGCAGTTTAAGCCACTTCCGTTTTGGTTTCAAGAGAGAGACAGGAAGGTTTCCGCTTGGTGTCAACTCGCTGTCGGAGAGGAGAGCAAGAAAGCGCAGCTGGTATCGGTGTATCGATACTGCAGAAAGGAGTATTGGAATTGTTTGTGTATTCTTTGACAACTCTAGTTCATATATTGTATTGTAATGAAATATTGACCATCTTATATTCTACGTAACTGTACATCTAATATAAAGCAACATGCAATTTATAAAGTCTAATGTCTCTAGGCACGCCCTCGACCTATAACCACAGGTTTCACCTTCACCACAATGGTAATAGCCCAAAATGGCAACATAACCACTTTCAACCCAAGTTATAACAGAAATGCCACCAGAACTCATACTATATTGAGCAAAAAAACACTTACTTCCATCATATCAAAGCATGCTGGGAAAATCAGATTTCCCTCTTTTTTTATGTGATTGTTAATTGTCTAACTTCCTCAATTTCTTCAATGCTGTTTTTAAAGATATAAAATATTGATATGGAATGACTACGAGTAATAATTGTAGTTTTTGAAAGAATAGAATAGAATAGAATTTAGAATTTAGTCAAATGCTTAATTCTTTTTGTGAAATAAACTGACAAATTCAGTTTTAGACTAAATTAACTATTGGGTTTTTAGGCATTTACTTTGGAATCTCCAACTCAAAAAAAAAAAAAAAAAAAAAAAAAAAAAAAAAAATAAAAAATAAAAAATCACCAATTTTTTTTTTTTTAGCAATTCAGAACTGTAGAATATGATAAACAAAGGAATAATAAAATGCATTCATTATGAAGGTCCCACTGAGACATAGAAATGCATATGATAAGAGTAGCAGATGAGGAAGAACTGAAGTATTCAGTAATCGGTTTTACTTACCACACCATTCGAGTTATGCACTCCATTCAAGTTGATCTTCGTCACAAAGCGAACAAAAGGGGGCGTTTCTGGATATCTTGGTCCACATTCTACTCTGAGGCTGTACATCCTGTTCTCATAGATAGTCTGCATGAATAAAGAAATATAATTATTATAACAGGATTTCTGCAGGTTTTATAAAAGGTACATTTGAAATTTTTTATAAGACCTAGTAAAAAAAATTGAAGGGAACAATGTATGTTCTCTAAATATAGGGAGAAACACGACGAGCTTAAAAATACAACTTTGAACAGATATCCATTACTTTTTAATTCATTTTACAAAAAAGTAGCTTGAATCGCTCTGCTCCCAAACACTAGAATATGGAAAAAACTTTTACGCACCTTCTGATCATCAGTAGTTTTGTCCTGTTCTCCAGTGCAATTGTGTAGAAATTCTTAAATCAAGACATTTACTTGAGATGCAAAATGATAAAAATATGAAGTCTTGTGAAATTGATTAAAATGAAGTGAGTTTATGATTAAGCAAAAACAGATATCCTCCAGTGGCCTCAGCTTAATTCAAAGGGAACTCATTGGCAGATATCTGCACACATTTTAAGTATAAACTCAATTCATTTTGTTAATTTTTTTTTTTTATAATTTTTTTATTTGCTTCTCACGTAAATGTATTTTGATTTTTTGTTTACATATTTGTATGGAAAGCAGGACAAAAATACTGAGGAAGATATTTATTTTTCCCGATGCATGCAACATTTAATACCATGACTATGCATTTAAGATATTCTGCTTGGATTTATGACTTTAAGACCTGCCAAACCCTCCCTGATTATAACATGAAATCACACTGATGATGACTCCATATTTATGAACACATTGGTAAAACTTATTACCAGTTTAGAACGGACTTTCATCAGCCTAGCGAACACAAAAACCCCCCAAAAAAACAAAGAAATAAACGTTGATCAATGAGGATGCCAGGTTTGGCCCTGTAATGGAGCAGGATTGGACGCCCCTGGATTAGGTCTAATTTTATTTCCACCAGGGTCATGATGCCCCAAACTGACTAAAACACGTGCTCTAGTGCAGTTCATGAACACTAGATAGAAGTCGAGCATATTTGGGCCTTCTTCAATTGATGAGTGTGTTGGCTGCTACTGCTCTGCATTGTAAAACATTTAATGGTTCTAGTCCCACTACAATTCTATGAATGATTTGATTTTGTATATATTATTAGTTAAATACAATACTAGTATTTAAGTAATGTCTTAAAAAGTTTATCACATTTATTACAACAAAATGGGTTCCTAAGTAATTACGTTGTTGTGTGAATGTTTGGGGTTTTTGAGAAGACCAAAGTCAGGGTTCTTGGTTTATTTTGAGTTGTATTTGATTGCTTTTGCTAAATGATTAAATGTAAATGTATATGATCAAATGTAACAGAAAAAACATTGATAATAATGCACTTGCACACCCGGTCTGTAAAATATAAACTACTGCGACCAATATGAAGATAAGACTGGCCAAACGTAACATCAGACATTTGAGTGCCATAAAATTGGCAGAAAGCCTTGTGTATGTGAACGCAAACCAGAGCCGGAACGCTAGAAAACTTTACAGGCTAGAAAGATTTACAAGATTAATCCGGAAATGTGTCTGTGGGCGAACAAGAGTCAGAGGCAATGCTAGGACGTTTGTGTTGTAGCGATGACACCATAGTTAGCTGCCATAATAATAATAATAATAATGATAGCACTTTATCCTGTTCCCCCTGTATGTATTTATTACAGTAATTAACTGGGTAAAAACTAGGTACTAATCCAGAACCTACCCCTAAACCTAACCCATAACTATATTATCCAGTACTTTCTTAGGAAAGTACACTGTAAGTGCACGCACTGTAAAATAAAGTGCAACCATAATAATAATAATAATAAAAAAAGAATAATAATGTTTTATTTTATAGTACTTTTCCAAAACCCAAGGTCACTTTACAAAGTTAGATTTCAAGAAAAAAATAAAATAAATCAACAACTACAGATCACGGACCAAGAGCTAAATAATAAAATACAGAGAATAAATGTGTTTTTAAAAGAAAGCAGCTTTACGGATGTCTTGAGGAAGAGCCTTCACATACACTAAAGACCAGGCCCCATAGTGACTGGAGTCATTAACAATCCAGCACTAGATCTTAAGGAGTGAACAGGGGAGATAAGGTTGAAGTCATTCAGATAGACATGAAGGAACAAGGTTATGAAGTGCTTTGTAAGAGAGGGTTAGTATCTTGAAGTCGATACATGAGGAAACCGGAACGCAGTGAAGGTGATGTAGAAACGGAGTGATATGCTCATTCGTTCTCTTGAGCCGTGCGAGTGATCAAACGGGATGAAAATACTGTAATCGAACGCAAGAGATATTACGTGGATTAAGTATCAGTATAGTTGCATTTAATGCCATGTCGGTATCTGTGGCTATTGCGTAGACTAAAAAAGCTGATGTTGAAAAAAAGTGGCTGTTGAAAATTGAAATTATTTAAACAAACAAACTTTCAACAATTACACATGGATAAACCATATTTTACATGAAATTATGTTATCCAAATCATAGGAATGGGCGTTTACATTGAAGTCTTCAAAGGACAAAGGAGACACACCCCATTTAAACAAAGTGTTCAAACCAGACGGTCAACAAAACAGGCAAGAAAATGGCCATTTATTTCTAAATCGTGACTGGTTTTGATGCAAAAATCTTAACAAAATTATAAGTTGACTTCAGAGAACATTTTAAAAAGTGTAATTCACGACCCTTTTTAATATTAAATTCTTGTGATATTGAATTCATACAGCAATTCAATACACATTTGCAATCATGCTACTATTCGAGAAAAACAGCAATCTTGCATTTTGCATCATGAATTTTGGGGCGTTATCACAGGCTAGATCAGGCAGTGAAAGTGTGTGCCCTGAATGCACACTCGCAGTCGTCTACTCTGAAGGCGTGTTTGCTTTTTAGAAAATAAGTGACATACTTGATAATGTCAGCTGGCACACTGTTAAAACAATTACGATCTTATCATAGATGATACATATCGCACACCCCTACATCCAAGTGTGGTAATATGCCTTTTTTCCCCTCAGTAATTTTGTTATTGGCATATTCGGTTCTTTTCAGAGTCATGCACACTGCATTTTCTAATAGAATAAGCAGAGACCTCTTGTTTTTGAGTAGGAAGATGTGAAAAGATACAAATATGACAGCCTTATACATGCACAAGAATATGCATCTAAACATTTGAATTAAATAGAGGCCATGAAGCTGGTAGAACTGACCCTCGGGGGTCCGATGATCATTCCTCTCCAGCGGGTGAGGGTCATGTCCTCGTCGTCCTCTAGACCCCAGCTCACCGTCCCATCTCCAACACCCTTCTGACCCTCCTCGAGCTCCTCCAGCAGCCGAAAGTTACGGGGGACTTTCACGCCTGTGAAAACACACACAATCACATGAACATCTGCTGCTGGAGTAATGTTCAAAACAGAAACTGCAGGGGAAACGGATATAGAAACTCTATGGGTCAGAATATTTTACATATGGCTGGAAATGTCACTTCTAATCTTTTTAAAGAGTTTTATATCAAATTAGGCCTGGTTTCACAGACAGGGCTATTAAGCCAGGATTAGGCCTTAGTTCAATTGGGACATTTAAGTCGCTTTTATAAACATTACTGGTGTGAATCATGAGACAAAACAATAACAATGATATATTTTAAGATGCTTTCGGCTAAAACAGCTCAAACATGCATTTTAGTCTGAGACTAGTTTAAGTCTTGTCTGTGAAACCAGGCAATAGTTTTCCAAGTCAGCCAATGCAAAAGATAATTCCCAATTATACGGTCTTTTCTCTGTCAATTGTTCAGAGAGCCATAAAACCATAAGGCACATGACAAAAGGTAAAGCACAGTTGTGTTTACCCTTAAAGTCAGTGAGCTTGATTTCCTGAAGGTGAGCTTAAAGAATGGCCTGATTTTGACTAACAAACACTGGATTAAGAACAAAGACTCAGTTGAGCATGACACGGATAATGAAACCAGGAAGTGCAGTCCAAAGCACTTTTATGTTGTGATATTGGTGTTTAAAATGGATTGCAAAGCAGTAATGTTAGTATAGAGAGGATTGGTGAGGACCAGGTTGTAGTTGGATGCTCAGATTTGATCAACGGTGGTACTTAGCCTGAAACGTATGCTGTTAAAAACACAAGACGGAGGTCAGTGGAACAAAAGGTCAAGAGATGTGTTTTTTTTTTAAGTTGCTGCAAAAGACGCGAGCGCAACGGTTAAAGACGCCCGTCTTGCATGAGTTTACATTGAAAAACAATGGAAAAGTAGAGCAGTGGAATGGAAAAACCCGTTCTGTGTTTCCCATTTATTTTTCCCATAGGGAATTTCGAAAAAGTGCTTGTATAAAAACTATAAGCTATGATGAACCAAAGCAACCAGAACCACAACTTTGATTTGAAGACAAAATGTTTTAGAAAATCAGGAAAAAAATGAACAATACTACTGTGTATTTACATGGCTTTAGTGAGAGAAAAGGCCACAATCTCATGAAGCACTGCAATTGACAATCAAATAGAAAATGATAGAGAACTATAAAACTATTGATGTAGATATTATGTTGATTGTGTATATAGGAACAATGTTTTACATTGATTGCAATTATATGTATATACACAAACATTTCAATAGTTTGACAGCATAGATGGACTATTACATCATTCGCAGTGCTTCATGGGAGTGGGAGGCACTAAAAAAAGAAAAGAAAAAAAAGGAGTTATTTTGGTGCAATTTACTTGACGTGGTTCTCTAATTGGTGGAGTTTTTTTTTGCAGAATTATTGCAATTTTACCATTGATTAACAACCTGGGGGCTCAGTAAAAAAATAAAAATAAAATAAAAACAGTAAAATAACAAGCATATTGTGCATAATGCTGTGATAAATGTCTCATATGTGTGTGTATATATATATATATATATATATAATGTCAATTGTGTGCTACAAACCACTGAGCAAAGGGGTGTGACGAATGAGAAAATGATACTTATAAAGAAAAGGTTTTCAACCAGAGGTCTGCAAAGCAACTGACATTTGAATGGACATTAAAAAAATTATATAGGCTTATCAGATAATTAATGTTAGATATTGAGATGTAATGAAGTGATAGGTTTCCAATGTTAGGTTCCCTGTCAGTAAAGATCACAGAAGTCAATGGCTGTGCTTCAAATTAGCGATCTGCCTACCTAGACCGCACTTTGGTAACATATTCTAACCTAACGAGCTGCCAACAAAGAAAGCACTTATAAAACATGACTGAAGTTCAATAACGTACTCGGAAGGCGTCTATGATACACAGAACTGCAGTCTAGCAAGGCGGCTCAGCAGGTTTTGTGACACAGCCCGTGTATTGTGTTGTTTCCCTATCATGACGCTGCAGTTGAATAAGCTACATGGCTAACCAACAGAAAAGGCAGATTACATTAAAAACCTGATGTACTCTCACCCCTATACGTTAAGAACCATGTATCTGAATGTTAAACTATTTAAAACGGGCTAAAACACAAACTCCATCGACATTAAACGCGACAAATGCCACGGATTTGACAGGCTAATGCTGTGCAAACACACCCACATGATTGCTGAGACCTTAAACACAGCAACACGAGTGATTACTTCAATGAAAGTATACTTTTTACGCGTTTTACCTTATCACAACACTCGCAGTGCATACTAAAGAAATAAATAATCTAAAACAATAGCAGTTTTTCGTAAATTTACCTGATCCGGCGGCGGCCGCCATCTTGTTGCTCAGCAGCGGGGACGCGCGCCAACAGTGAACAATCGCCTCATGAATAATGCATGTGAATAATCACTGAACCTGGATATAGAAGTTTATTCTGATGCGTTTATTACTCATCATATGATCCTGAATCTGTAGTAAATGTATTAAATAATTGCTGATGTAAAATGTTTATTTTTTATTTTTTATGTAGGTTTTGTTTGAATCCTGTTCCGTGTAGATCAGAGTTTTGTTTATTATTTATTTATTATGATCATAATGTATAGTAAAAAAAAAATAAAAAAAAGGTTCTCATCATCTGAGCCAGTTTTGAAGTGGCCAAGTAGGCCTAACAATGTAGTTTAAGGTCTCGTTACATCTTTTTAGTATGTCAAGATCTTTGTTCAACATCAGATCCAAAACGGTTCAAAGGACAGCTGAACTTCAACCCTAGGAAATAATCATATTAAATTATTAGATAATATTATTACATATGTAAACATAAAAGTACAAAAAATGCAAAATCATAATGTTGTTTAAAATAGCCAGAAGGAATCCGAAATCCATTCCACCATGTAACGTTAAAATATGAAGAAGTTTGAACAAGTGATTGAATTTATTTGATTCTCATACTCAATACTGCTGATCCAATGGTCTTCAATCGGGGGTCCACACAATGTTAATGTTTGATCACAAATAATTTTTTGTTAAAAAAAATAAAAATAAAACATGGGTAAAAACAACAACATCACAAAGTCAAATTTAAGCACCCTGAAACGAAAGCAAGAGCACCCTCAGTTGATACTATAAAAATATAAAAATTATTGGCGAAACTGATTTGGTAAACACTCTTTTGTCTCTGTTTTTGAGTTTGCGTTCTGGAGTGAAATGTTCCTATTTACAGCGTGTTTTTGCCGCAGTGAGAAATGTAGCCAATCACAGACATGTTTGATTATCTGTTAAACGCAATGTCCAATCAGAGGTGTTTAAATTAGACCACTCACCGCTCAAAACGCCTGAGTTTTTGTTCGATGACGAGTTTTGGTCACTCTCGCGAATCCTCTCAAAAGAAATTTCTCTCAAAGAAAGACACGATTTAAGTAAGATATTCATTATACAGTGTGTGTAGACAACTTTATTGATTTGAATGGCTTTTTAGTGATTTAGTGTAGAGCCCTGCACGGGCCTCAAATCTAGGCCCTAGCCCGGCCCTGGCCCGAGACGCTCAGGCCCTAGCCCGGCCCGTGTCCGACAGCTCATTAGAATGATCAGCCCGAGTCCGACCCGAGCCCGTAAAAAAAAAAAAAAAAAAAAAAAAAAAAAAAATTCACAGCCTGCCCTATGTTGCAGTCAGTAAAACAGATATTTTTTTCTTCTCAATGGCAAAGTATTTACCAGTAAGTTTATTTTCATTTCTTTATAAAGTTAATTTAGAAAAATGTTTTTTTTTTTTTTATGACGACCAAGCAGCCGACAGTGAGTTAAACATGTTTGATCCATTTATAGCCTCTCAAATCAACACTTTACTTGGCTACAATACAATCCATATATATAAAACAACTTAAGCATATCACACAGACAGTTAACGTTTGTTTAAACGTTTATTGTCATTTTTGAAAAGCTGAGGCAAACTGCTCTGCTGCTCAGTCGCAACAGCGCTCGCAAACTAAATGAGTTTACAATACAATACAGAGAATGCAATCTAAACAAATCAAATAAATTACATTAAAAACAAACATGCAGGTTATCTTACCTCAAAAATCAAGTCTTCACTACAGAACATGGCCATTCTTATTTCCAATAGTTTTCAACAGACTCATGAAAATAAAGTCCAATCAAACAAAAAACAACCTCCTAACATGGCTAAGAACAGTCTCAGAGCATCGTGAAGAAAAAGCACAGCATCCACAGTGGAAGGTTTTAATCCAGTCGTACTTTTTCCAGCTGCGCTGAAGTCACGCTCGCCACCGGGACACTAAACACAGAACGAGCCGGTCGCACGAATCTCAGATCGCGCCGCCGGGAAACCTGTGCGTGTGCGTGAGCAGACTGTCATGTGTCAGTCATGTCAGTGTGATAGGTTATAAAACGTCTTTCTATGTTTGCTTTTCAATCGTCATCTTCTCATATTTTATTTTAATTAATGTCTAAAATAGGCTATAAAAAAAGATAAGCCTAAAACAGGCCCGAGGCCCGGCCCGCGTGTGAACTATGACGTGAAAATTGGCCCGAAGCCCGGCCCTAGAAGCGTAAATAAGTCGGGGCCCGTCGGGCTCGGGCTGAAATGCAGGCCTCTAATTTAGTGATTGTTTAATCGTTTTATGCTGCAATGGACCGATGACCAATTGCACGTTGAAAGTTTTGGAAGTGACATCTACACATAAATGCAGAATTCATTCTCGAAATTGCAATTTACATAGACATAACTAGCACGGGACAAAAATAGTACATGTCTAAATACGCGCAATGTAACGTTAAATGCAGACTAATTTGTATAAATTCGTATCAATATATATTTTTAATTCCATTCCAATTATTTTTAAAAGTTAGACTTGTAAATAATCTTTAATGTTTCACTGTGCATTCATTGCTATTCTTGTTATGGTGGAGCCGCTGCTACACATTACATCTGCACTTTACTAGTGAACACGCACTCATTTCACATAAGATTTATCTGACAGTCAAATTAAAATGTGAATTTTTAATAAACTTGTAGCTAAAGTTCAGGTAAATGTTGAATTGTCGTCAGAAAAATTAAAATGTTTTTATTTTTTTTAAATAAACAAACTTGTAGCTAAAGTTCAGGCAAATGTTCAATTGTCCATCTGATTAATCCATCTCCTAATAAAAATAAAAATGTATGATAAAATCATTTACAAGAACTTCAAACAACTAATGAATTGTGATTTTTATCGCAACATGTTGTTTATTATGATGCATAGGGCCTACATCTCAATTTATCTCTATAAATCTATCTCACAACTATAAAAGTCCAAAGATGAAGAAGAGTCAAAAGGTTCCGATACGAGCGTATTTAATATTAAATCAAACACAAATAATCCACAAGGCATAACAGCATGCACATAACACAAATAATAACTGACAATGAACTGAGGAAACACAGGAACTTAAGTATACAACGATAACGAACTCAAATACGAACAGCTGTGATGGTTAAATGAATCTCCAACAAACAAGTGGCAGGAAATGTGAACAAAGACAACAGGAAATAGTGACAAACAAACTAAAAGTCCATGAAAATGAAAAACTGAACTGACAGTTTGTGAAAGATATGCATTTTATGTAAGTAGTCTGCTATAGCTGTTATAAAGGTTTCATTGATTTAAATTTTTGGCCATATAAATAATAACTGCACCAAATTGCTATTTTTTGCTCAGTTTGGGCCTCTGAATAAAATAGTAAGCATATTTTATAAATGAGGCCCTGTGCGCACCAAACAAGCGGACTAAGACACATCACATTTTCTATGGGTCTGCTTCCTAACAAACTGGTGCAGACTGACATATGAATGGAGCACAAACCAGACATCTAATGAACCAAAAACAGGATATGATTGTATCGATTATGTTCAATTTTGGTTTCGTTTTCACTTTGTTCTGTTCTTGTTCTGCCTGCCTTATAGGGGCTGTTTACACGACACTGTTTTCAACTAAAAATGGAATACGTTTAATGCGTTTTGGCCGTTCATTTACACGACAATGGCATGCCTGAAAACGCAAACCGTTGAAAACAGGTTTCAAAGTGCAACTTTTTTAATACGACACCCTTATCATCCCGTGTAAACTACAAAAGCGTGAATCTGTGAAAACGGTGACGTCATGCACGTGTATTAAGTGTTTAGTCTATAAGCTGTTTTTTTTTTTAAATGAAAGGATACGGATGTTAACTGTAAGAAATAAGGGGGGCATACAGACATCATCACAAGTGAAGAATTATAAGAATTACACAAATCAACTAACAACACAATATAACATTTTATCATCATGAGAAGACTCAAGGATGATGTTTTCACCTTTGTGTTCAGGAAGTGTAAAGCAAGTAAAAAGGGACTTTATATCAGAGGAGAACATTCTAAAATTGGGATTACAGTGAATGTTTCTGGCTTTGTGAAGATGAAATTTACTGTAGTAAAAAAATGCGCATAGTGTTTCTTTACATAAGCCCCTTTCACACAGAGATTCCGGAAAATACTCGGGATTTGACCCGGGTTCATTCACACTGCCAGTGATTTTCCGGATTCAGAGAGTGCGTTCACACACAACCCGTAAAGACACGTGACATCGATGTGACGTAATGTCTCAGCAGCGTGTATAGTTTGCTTATGAGCTGCGATTTCTCTCTGGAGAAACCAGGCTTGTGCATTTTTTCTCTGATTCGATCATAAACTAGCGCATTACGTTCCGTTTCACTAGCCTGCTTTCACTTCACTTCAGCGTCATCATTACGGCACGGCATTGGTTACGGCTTTTGTTCACACAGAGCGCGTTCCGGGACTGATCCCGGCAATGTTACTAGGTCCCCAACCCGGCATCGATCCCGGCATCAGTCCCGGGTCGTGTTTGCGTTCACACAGAAGGCGTTCTGGCAATTTCCCGGGATCAACGCGCTGTGTGAAAGGGGCTAAAGTGACATCGCCAACTACTTGTCTGACATGCAAAATACAGCATTATTAGTTGTTTTCGCAGATCCGTGTGAACGGGGAATGTTTTGATAACTTTGTCATGTGTACAAAGAAAAACGTTTCAGTTTTTAGCATATTGTTAAAGGTACAATATGTAGTATTTTTGCAGTAAAATATCCAAAAACCACTAGGCCAATGTTATATATTTTGTTTAGTTGATTACTTACAATATCCCAAATGTTTCCAACTATTTGTAAATCATGAGAAAATTGCATCCATAAAAGATCCATCAGCTTGACGACAAGATCCATAAGTCCGCTTTATGCTTTGCGTCATCAATATACGCCTTTGTTATTGTCAGAGGTTAGCGACCCCTGGTGGCCAAAAATCCTACATATTGTACCTTTAATGTGGTTGTGTTTACGTTTTCTCCTGCTATCTCCTGAGTGTTTTTGTTGTGGATTTATTAAAGACTACTTTTGTTACTCCTCTCCTTCGTCATGTGCGCTTCACTACAACCACCCGTGACGATGTCATAAGATACAACCCTAAAAAGACAGCATGCTTAAAGGGATAGTTCACCCAAAATTAAAACTCTGTCAGTAATTACTCTCCCTCATGTTGTTCAACCCCGTAAGACTTTCGTTCATCTTCGGAACACAAATTAAGATATTTTTTATTAAATCTGAGAGCTGGATCACTCCTCCATAGGCTTCTAAGGGATTGAAAATTGCCGGCCCAGAAAAGTTATTAAAGACATCGTTAAAATAGTCCGAGTGACTACAGTGGCTCAATCTTAAGTTTATCAAGCGACGAGAATACTTTGTGTGTGCAAAAACAAACAAAAATAACGACTTTATTCAACTATTCATTTCCATCTCTGTTGGCCTCGAGATAGTTCACGTAGTGAAACTGCGCAGCGCTTCTGGGTTGTACATCACACACATGACCAGCGTCGGCTAATAGTGAGCCAATGTGTGACGTACATTTTGGGGTGAACTATCCCTTTAAGCATACCTGGTTTGTCTCATTATAGGAGGTACGTTGCCCATTACAGTTCGCTCCTGGCGTCAGAACCGTCGTCTTCTTGCAGCAGATCTTCGTTTGTGTGCGTGACGAAGTTCTTTTAACTGTTCCTTCAATTCACTGTTATTTGAAAAGCAATTTCACACCTTGATTACATTATTTAAATGTTCATGTTCATCCAATTAACGTACCATAGCAGGTGTGATTTTTGTTGTGAAAAAAAACAACAACTAATTTGTGTGATATTTTTCTAAACAAATTTATTTTACCCACAATTAAAGGATTCATTTAAAAGTAAATCAGAGCACTAAAACACAATTTCATCACATTTTTAAAATTTATACAGTAAAAGCTAAACATTTTAATAATTAAATAATGATTCTGAAATAATTTAATAATGCGGTAATCGTTCAAACCACTAGCTGTCAATCAATGTTCTTTTTGTCCTCTAGATTTAAAATGCTCTCAATAGGCAAAGATATTTGCCACGAATTCTCGAAACCGCTTGGCATATTGTTCAGGATGAACTGTAGAGATCTCAGCGCCAGCCTTTAAATAAAAAATAAATTCAAATTAAAAAAAGAACAAAAAAACGTGTAAATAATAATAATATAATAATACATTTTATTTATAGTGCACTTTACTTTTCAACGAAATCTCAAAGTGCTACAGTAGCAGGGGGTTAAAAACAATTCCAGAAAATATCACAAAATCAATAAATAGCAATAAAACACCACAAAGAATAAAATTAAAATCATGAGAGTTAAAAGGCCTTTTGAAATAAAAATGTCTTTAGTCCCCAAATAACAGATAGATTTAGAATATTTACAGTTCAGTTTAGTCTTTTTACAATAAATGTGTAAAAAGCAAATCTCACTCTATTCGTTAAGCATCACTTACTCCATGCTTGACTGTTTTCGCTGCATGGGCTGCTTTCTTCTTGGTATCATACTGGGTCAAAATGTCTATAAGACCCATGAAGTACACTTCTCTGTGTGGGGCACCTAGATCAAGGACAGACAAACACAAGACTCATAAATGAAGTGATTTAAACAAATTGAATTGGCGTGCACCTTAGTTAATAATCTGAATCTGAAAGACAAATTAGGTAAGAGGGGTAACACAAAATGAGTTATGGACAATTATTTTAAGGGAAATGCATAAGCCTTTACCTTCATGGAAAGATTACTCAATGGGTTCAAGATTACAGAAGCTAACCATTTATTTGTCCATTATGTATGAGTTGAGTTGGACATGAGACTGAATTGTGACTCACCAACTGCGCTCTGGATGGCATACACATCAACATAAGGGTCAAACTCTCCTGGACCGAGAGGTTTATAAGAGCTCATGTACCCTGCGATGCCCTCAGGGGACGAGCCGAAAGACCCCACGGCTGTAAGGCACAGGTCATTCTCTGAATCCTCCTCCTCTTCACTTAAAGAGTCTTTCATTTCCACCTCTTCTTCTTGCTCTGCCCTCCCGACATCATGAATGCCCAGCAGCAGGCTGTAGTCCATGATCTTCAAACGCACAAGAAACTGCACACAAACACAGCATTAGGCCCTGTTTACACCCGGTAATAAGAAGTGTTTTGGTCGATCGGATCACAAATAGACGAGGGAGACACATTCCCGTTTACACCTGGTGTTTTAAACCGTCTCTTTTGTCCACTTTTAACCACTTCTGTCCTGATTTCTTCGAGGGGAGGGTCTATGGGTGGATAAATGTATGAGCTTTTTCAGATTTTTCGATCTAATTGACGAAATAAGCTCACGCTATGTACATATAAACGCGACCGGAGACGACGGAAAAACACACGGAGAGCAGCAGCTTTCATTTCTGCTCTGAAAGCCACAAGACCAGCCGAACACTGAGTGTGTGTTAGAAATCAGGAGTGGTGTGAGAGAACATTGTGCTTGAAAGGTTTTTCATCTTCAAACCAGACTTAAAACTGCGAAAACGTGAGTAAAACGATTAGACGTAGAACTATAATCACTTTAAACTTAAGGTTGGACTCGATATAGTGTTCCTTAAAACTTACCAAAGTGATCCATAGGTATTGACATGTAGCAGGAATCGTGATTCCTGACATTTGTATGTGCCTGATTTCAACGCCGGGGAAATACATAAAGCAAATTTGCCTGTGAACGCTTTATATAAATACAATAATGGTCTAAATCCATGTGATCACTTATATCAATGCTATATATATCAACATATATCGTAACATATACACATATTTTGTCAGGGTTTATTTAAAAACATCAGAATATACGATGGTAAATATTTATTTGATGAGTTGTCAATAGATAGGAAATGATTTTACCCCTGAATTCAGGATATTGACACCATATGATAATTGCAAATCCACCATTCTCTGCCTGACGACGGTGACGTCACACACACACCCTCTACTGAGAGATACTTTTACTTAAGTACATTTTTTAGTACTCCTTCCACCACTGCGCATTAGGTCAGTGAAGAGAAGATGGTCTTTTGCGGCTGTTCGAACACATTCAACCACATGAGCGTTTACACTATGAAAGCAATCCGGTCGAATGCGTTTTCCACTCTGGAAGTGGTCGAAAGTGGACAAGCTCAAAATATTTTACACCCCGTTTACACCTGTATTTAGTGTCGTCCACTTGTGATCCGATCGACCAAAACGCATCTTAATACCAGCAAGTGTTAACAGGGCCTTAGTTTCAGTATGTCAGTTACTGTACGAAAACCAGGTTGTTTGTGTCCAAGAAAACTTCTCGGTTTCGCAGTGAGTAAAATCAACCAATCAATCAAATTACATTTGACCCTTATGTAATATTCTGTCAATTGTGTCTTTAATTCGTCTCACCTCTACATCCCTGTTCAGTTTATCCAATAGCTTTTCTTTCTCCTCTTCACTGATGTAGACTCGCTGCATGTTGTTTCTGAAGTCTACATCCTTGAAGGTAGGCAGCTCTTTTACCTGTGTTTTCAAATAATTTTTAAGCAATTATTTTCAAGAACAAATTTTCAGTTTTGAGAAACTGAAACATCTTTCAAGAACAGCATACAAGAAAGCCTTTGTAACAGAATGAAAACAAGAAAACATGTTCTAAAGCAATTCTAAAAATAACCAAAACAAATCTTTAATTTGAAGAGGCTATAAAACAAAATGTTTTTGATTCATAAATGTAAATGTTTTTGGATGAGCATCTCTTACCTTTTCTTTATCGCTTGCTTCTCGAGAAACCAACGAGCCCTATAATATGAAATATTCCTGATAATTTAGATACATGACAATAAATATTATACAGTAGTAGGGATGGGGCCGATCCAGTATCGGTATCGGGACCGATACCAGCGTAATTCACGTATCGGATTTTCCCGATCCAACCTGCGGAGATATCCGATATCCATGAGCCATGTCTGCGCTTGTCTGCTGAAACGACTCCAAAAGTGATTCCCGCGGCCCGCCGGCTAGTCTGCTAGCTGGCTGCAAACTGTGGAATGGATATCCTGAACGGAGGTGCGGCTCAATTAAACACAGAGACCCCCCCTCAGGAAATCCATTCCGCAGTTTGCAGCCAGCTAGCAGGATAGCATTGAGCTGCCAACATGTTCGCTGTGTGGAAATCCTATGGTGGAAATACTTCACTCTGGAAACACCGCAGCAGAGCAAGACAGCAAAATGCAATGTTTGCAAAGCCGTATTAATTAAACCATTTGTCTGTGATGCATGTTTGCTATTCGCAGTCCAGAAGAGAAAGAGAGAGATCTCTCACGCGGTGCCACAGCGCGCACAACACGACAGCCCATCAGCATGATCGGTGATTGTTGTAAAATGCAGTCTCTACTGTTGGTAAATTGCGGGACGCTTTTAATAATAAAAAAAGCTATTAAAAGCACAAAAATCTGCGCAAGAGAAGCTGTTCCCGCGTCGCGCGCTCCGAAACAGACCGCAACGAGACAAGCACATTATACTTTGGGCTTCATATGCACGTCTAAACGATCAAATGTAGCCTACACAAAAATGTCAAAATGACCGGCTTGGAGATTCACTTAAACAGTTTGTCTAAAATGGACGTAGTTATGGAAATAGTTGGGAGAAAATATGGTGCACTCGTTCTTAAAGGGGAAACAGTCTAATAAACATGCTGACGATTGCTCCATTACCGAGAATCAAACAACAAAAGGCAAAGAGAAAATCACTCACAGCTCTTGAATGAATAACTTTAGCTTTAATAAGCATAAATCTATCTATGATAAACTTTGCAGTGCTATTTTATTTTTGATTACTTTATTATAATTATTTTTAGACCATACCTGAATAATGTTAGTAGACCTTCCTGAAATTAAAGCACTGTGTAGGCCTGTATAATGTGTATCTTTGTTTAATTGTCTATCTTTTGTTTATCTATTGTTTAATATATATATATATATATATATATTGACATACATGCATACATACGTACATATCATACTTGCCTGTAGAGAGGAGTTTATTTCAGCATCATATAAAATCAACAATAATGATAATAATAATATTAAAGCAAACACAGCTCTGGTATCGGAAAAGTATCGGTATCGGCCGATATCCAAATTCAGGTATCGGGATCGGATCGGAAGTGAAAAAATGTGGATCGGTGCATCCCTATACAGTAGCTCTATTTTATTTAATAGATTGCCTTCAAAATGCTATAAGTTGAGTGAAAAACTATTTTTATTGTGATCTTTCCATTTTTTTTAAACTTTGCACTTATTGTTTTGAATAACATACTAAACTCGTAACATATTAATTCCTCACCATTATGGCTCAATAACAAAATCATTAAATAGTAAACAATGATTGAAGAATGAAATTGATCTACCTTGAGGTCATATTTTCTGTGGACAGTTAGTCGGTGGCTGAACATGTTCCTCGTGACTAAAAGGTACGTGTCTTCATTGTCCACAGTGGCACGGTACATGCCGAGGAATTGGGGAAGGAGTGTGCTACCATGGCACGTTACAATGTGCTGAGGGGGGGAAAGAAGATGTTTTAGTTTGATAGAAAAGGGAATAAAAAGAAATAGCCTTTCTAGGTCCAGTTGATTGTTGCTTGTCAGTTGAACAATCATCTCAATGAAACCAGCACAAACATCTTTTAAAAAAAAAGTTTGATTACACGGTTCAGAAAACAAAATATCTTTCTTATTTTTTACTTATTTAATTATATTATATTTTACTCAAATAGCATTGCAGTCAAATGTTACATAGACTCATCTTTTAAATAATAAATCAATGACTAAACATACCTCTGTGGCTTAGTAAAATAGGTATAAAGCTTAGTTTATGCTTGGTGTGTCTGGGGAAATCTATCCATCCAAACAGCATTCAAATACATCTCAATAGAAGTTGCTTTGGTTTAAGACCAGCTTGGCCAGGCGAGACCATCTCAAACCAGCTAAGACCAGTTAGCGTGTAAGTAATTTTTTTAAATAAAAAATAAGCGAGAGAACTGATGGACCAGCAAACCAGTAGCCTGGGAAAACCCCGACGAACTTCCGGCAAATTTAGATTTGCTCAGCAAGTTAGTCTGGCGAAGAGCCCATTGAAGCCCATTTCCAATCTTTCCAAATCGAGGCACCAATCACAAACGTTGAGGCGGGCTTTACACGATGACGATAGCTCTGATTGGTTTTAGGTCTATCCAATTGCGCCCAGAGGCATTTGAGCGATCGACGTCCGTTGGCGACGCCCCTTTAGAAATGGGCTGTGAATGAACCTCAGGTTAGCAAACCAGCTTAGATTGCTTGAGAACAGCATGGCAGCATAACCAGCTCTAACCAACATAAACAACCTGGACCAACATGATGGTTTATGCTGGATTTTTCAGCAGGGAAGCCTACCAGCCAGTGCAACAAAGCATCTACATATTATCCAGAATGCATCTGGTCTTCAATCAGTCAAAGACCTCTCCTGATATCACTTCCAATGGCTGACAGAATCAGGACTGCCACTGGAATACAACAGTTGCATTCAATAAACAAGCAGCACCTTGTTGTTCCTCCACAAGGAGATTCAAAGCCACTCTCCAAAACCTTCAGCCTCCCCTCTTTGAAGAAATGAGCTACCAACATTTACTCGATCTGCTGAGACCATCACATATTTCAAGAAGCAACTCATCCACAAGCACTTAATCACTCCACAACTTTAAACAAATGCACTTTCTTCCAATAAGCAATCTGTATTTCACTTGTGCTCTCGTTTTTTCTAATATCGCCTTCTAATAAACATGGCATTGTATAGTATGGATATTGTTGACTGCAGTGAAATTCCTTATTATGTTCCTCATTTGGAGGTCAGCCTGGATACAATGTTCTGCTAAATTTCTAAATGTAAATATGGACTAGATTTATGGAAGAAAACTGATAGCAGTTGAAAGGCAGCTGAACTCCCTCCCTCTCACAGAAAGCCAAGACCAGCCTACCTACTTGGACTAGAAATGGACCGGCATTAGGAATAGGAACAAACAAGTAGAAAACTGAACAACTTTACAGAGCATTGAAGACATTAGTGTGTACCAGATGACTTCCCATTGTGCGTCAGAGAAACAAGCACAATGAAAGATGTTCACATAACTAATGCACTTCTGCACGTTTTCTGAAGCAATACGATAGCTCTGTGTGAGGAACAGACTAAATTTTAACTTGACATCTGTGCTAGCTTTCTGTGATGTTCATGATAGAAGCCACAATGTCCAATTTGTGAACCAATAGCTCTTTCACTAGATCTTTTCAATGTATCATAGTACTGTTAGATAATGGCAGAATTTTCTTGTTTGAATGAACTAATCCTTTAAGTGTAATCAGGAGAATACATTTTACAAAGGTTAATTGTACGTGTTATTAAACAACTTGACTTATGAAACAGTATACTCTATACCTGGTGGTATTCTGAAAGGATGTTGTGCATGTCCTCCACCTCCTCACTGGAGATTTGCTTGACAATTAATGTGCAGTCATATGATGTCAGCAACAATCCCGCTTCCTGACTCTTGCATTCCTTAACTGGAGGACTACGCGTTAGAGAAACCTAAAAGGGCACATGGAAATTTGGAAATGTTGTAAAATTCCACCTTAATCTCTCTGACCAACAGGTGTGACCTAAACAGTTACTGTTTCAAACAGCATATCTAAGTCATTCCATACAAAATCATATGTTAATTGTCTGGGAGGGGGAAACGGGGCAGAGGAGAACTAATAAAGGGAAACAAGTGGGAGTTAACAAGGGGTTTGTGTGTGCATGTGTTTTATATGGCATTTCAAAGTCCATATTGTAAGCAAAATCCAGTAAAAGCTCTATTATAAAGATAAGCATGAATTCATGCAGTTTTTAGAACACAAACCATGACATATACTTGAACCTCAGATTAACTTTCTAAAACGATTGTCTTAGAAACTATTTATTTAAAAGTAATCTACACACAATCGTTCATTTGATCATCATCCTTGCTCAAAACCACCAGGTATGTTAAGTCCAAGAGAGCTTGGATAAGAGATGGACTGGCCAGGCCTGAGACTTTGGGACAGGATCCAGCATCACAAACCTTGGACAAGCAGTTTGGAAAATAGATGGATGTGAAGTCCACCCCCACAGTCAAGCAACCCTGTTAAAAGACTAAGACAAATGCACGATTTTCTTGATTTGCACTCTGCTAAGGGCACAATCCTCTGTGGTGAAGCATGACTCTTTTGATATAGAGACTCTCATTTGATAACATGGGCGCTGAAAAAATATGCGCTGCTCGCAATAAAAATGATGCTGCAACTTTCACAGTTATGAAATTCATATCTGTGAAAAGACTTCATCCCAGCCTTTGCCAGATAGTGAAAACCTTTTGGCTTTGACTAAACAGTGCATGCCATTACTGTTATTAACCCTGCCAAATTTCATTGTATTGTCATTTATTATTCACCAGGTAAACTAGGCAATATCCTTGAGGAGCTGGATAACCTCCTGTCCTCCTTTCCTGAGGATGGCACATGGTAGTCCTGGGGTCCTGGGTAACAATGCAGTCGGAAAGGAGCCGGAATCCCTTTCAAGCCTTGAACACCAATGGGATGCTGATATCCTGGAGCCAAAGAGGGCCCTAACCAGGGCTTGACATTATCTTTTTTGCTCACCAGCTGTGGCTAGTGGTTTTTCAAAGTTACAAGCCACTCCGCATTTTCACTGGCCACAATTTTGACAACGATACCATGGGAAAACTACCATATAGATATTTTTTATATTATCTCATTATTTGGCAGCCGGTATATTAGGCTGTTGTTGCTTTAAGACATGACGCACAGACCCACAGGCCATTTACTGTTTTAAATAGCCAATATACTTGTCTTTATGGGCAAGCACTTTGGGTGTGAGCACAAAATCTGCGGGAATGAGTACAATTATGCTCAATATGTGCAATCCCTCACCCCGTAACCAACAATATTCATCTGGAGTAAATTAAATGAGTAAAGGGACGCGGGTTTGTGTCAACCATAGACTGTAAAGGGTGTCAACTCGCTGCCGGACAGATTAAAGAGGGAGAACGCGTTGCTGGTGCATCCTGCCGAAGAGTTTCAGATAGTTCATTATCGATATGTATCTTAAAATCTATATTTTTGACAACACTATTGCACTTAATTTATTATTTCAGATGCCTTTTTAATTGAAAAATTTATATTAGGCCTATATAAAATTCAGCCTGCCAAAGTGGTTAGTAGGAGTAACTGCGTTACATGCCACTGGTGAAATCCACCCGCATTTTGGCAAGTTGTTAATGTCAAGCCCTGGGCCTAACCATCTGGAACAGGCAGATGAAGGTACCTTGAAGTGAAGATTTGGCTTCTGGATAGAGACTCAGAACGTAGTCTGTCTGGTAGTGTCCATTTCCTCACAAACCAGAGGCTCAGAAAGTGGATTTATCTGTTGTTAAAGGACAAGTTATGGTTAATAGTTCGATGGATGGCGAAATGACTAGGAATAACATGCTTTGAGGTGGTGGTGGCCCATTTCAAAGCACACCTGGGGAGAAGGGAGATGATGAGCGCTATTTTGCTCACTGCGTAGGGAATCTCTGGGGCTCTCCATAGTGAGTGAGCACTGGAGTAAAAAACATTGCTTTCTTCCACTGAACCAGATGTCGCTGAGAGACCATGGGACTCTTCGGGAGTAGTTGTTTGGAAAGGTGAAGTGATGTAGTGAGGGTTTGACGAAGCTGATTGACCAGTGTTTCTATGGTGTCAGTGATGAGATGACAAACTACTCCTGATGGGTCCATGATAGTGGTCTAGTCTTCCATTAGAAAGGCTACATCCACATGGATGGTGAGCCCAGATGTGGGAACTTTGTTGAAACTAGGTATTATCAATAATTAATCAGTCAGTCCTTATCTTCTTCCCTCTATAAACCAAGGCTATATCTAGCTTTTCCCTGCCTTTGACTTTGGCCAGCCCATGCCACCCATCTGGACATGCCCCTGATCCTACTAGAATAGACTAACCCATCACACTTGGTAGAACCATTTGCACAAGCTTAAATCTGTTTTTCCAACTCCTTCATACCTTTACTTACATATTGGAGATTTGTCTTGAAAATTTCCCAGTTGGCCTCAACATTTCCCAGTTGGCCTCAACATTTCCCAGTTGGCCTCAACATTTCCCAGTTGGCCTCAACATTTCCCAGTTGGCCTCAACATTTCCTAGTTGGCCTCAACATTTCTCAGTTGGCCGCAACATTTCCCAGTTGGCCTCAACATTTCCTAGTTGGTCTCGCTCATGTGGTGCTTCGCTATCACACTCACTCTGCTCTTCAGAATTTCACCATTTTGTGTTAAATCAAAAAATGAGAGGAGCTTGAGTTCAGTTTGCAACTTTCTTGCTGGTTTGTTTCAAAATAAATAAAAATGATTGCTGTCTGCTTTCAATTCACTGATGTAACGTCCAGAGCTGTAGAAGAGGAGGTCAGCAGCGCCATCTGCTGGTAAACTTTATTATCCATTCAACAAATATTCCAACAAGCCGACATAGTGATCGTGCCACGATCACGCTGTCATGCCCTGATCACGCTGATGGACAGCCAATGAAACCACAGCATTGGTCGGGTGACTGTGTGCAGAAATTTTAGTTTCGTTTCGCTTTATCATTGAGAGATGGTTCGTGTGTTGTTTTCTTCCTAATTCCTGCTTGAGTCGTGTGCGTCAATGACTAAAAGTGTTTATTTATCTTGTATATTGCGTTGTTGCTGCTGATCAAGACTAGCCGCTGAGTTGTTTATATAAGATAAAATGAAGCACGAAAGACCCGCGGCTCCGCACAAGTGAATGTTCGTATAAACAGAAGCGCCTAAACCGAATACATTATTTGGAATCGTGTTATGTGAGCCCGTTTAGGCCAATGTGGCATATTTCTGCCTAATAGAAATGTTAGTTTGATTATGTGTATGACGAATCTGTCAAATGTACACTCTGTATATTGACCTATGCATATGCATGTGCATTTGGTTCATGAAGCTAACAAGTTTAATGATGTACATTATTTATGTATATTGTGTTAGTGCTTAGTACAGCTTTACATCTGCTATGTTATCTAGTAATTTACATGTGGTAATGTTATGTTATTCTAGACTCACTTAATTTACATAATTTATTTCTTCTTTCCTTTGTTTAGACCACACACCACATACATATACACAAGCAACTAAGTTACCATCCATTCCAATGTAACCAGTGAACTTGATGGACATTAAAGTCATTTAAATGGGTTTCCTGTCTCCGTGTCCTTACCGACACACCATGGCGATGACCAAGTCTACCTAAGAACCAGTCCACCTTCAGTACAAATTTGGTCCTTCGAGCCGGAGACAGGTCATTACCATGGCAACCCCAGAGTCGGCGATGTCAAAGTCTCCCCCTGCCTCATCCCGACGTCCACAAAGAGTAATTCAGAGGCCTGTCTACCTAGATGACTACGTGGTTGACTGTTGAGAACCCGTCAGGACAGGCTGTTAGACCTAAAGAGAAGGTAATGGTGACTTCAACCCCCATCTCATCTCACCACCCATTCAGAACAGCTGGATCATCTGAGGACTTTATGCTGCAAATAATGGAAATTAACAAACAACAGAGCGAGACAGCTAGGCGCCAAACAGAACTCGAAAGAGAAAGTCCTGCTACACAGCACTCCTCAAGCATCTGCTCACTCCTCACGAGCATCATCCCGACATCAGACACCTAGAGCCCAGATCCTGAAATCAGTGGAGAAGGGACAGTCGAAATCCGATGTTAGCCCTGGTGATGTCTGCTCAAACCGTCATCCTTGGCCACAGCCTGCCAAACCCCAAACCCCTTTCTTTGAGGAGCTTTCGCAAGTATTGAGTAAAACACAAATCAGAGACACTCATTTCCAGTCACCACCTCCTGTGAGCAGAGAGAGTACCCTTTCGGCACACCAGTACGCCTCACCATGCTGCAGTTCTCTGTCAGACCCAACCTGAACCCGAGTGCACAACAGAGAAGAGCCCTGGATGAAACCATTGCCTCCTCACCCTGAACAGAGACCGAGTCAGACAACCCAGCTTCCTTTTTATCCAGTATCAGCCCCAGAGACCTTTCCAGTACATGGTCAGTTTGCTTCAGAGTCTGAGCCCATGCCAAAAACTGTGTACCCAGTTACAACATCTCAGCTTAGACCTGAGGCTGTACCCTACACTCCCCATCCCTTATCATCATAATGGGTTCCAACAGTAGAAGGCCCAACCTTCCCAGATTTCATTAAAGAAGACAGAGCCCAGTACGTGGAACTTAGGATTGCTCTGGACAACCTGCTTCATCCACAATTATCAGAGCATTATAAGTACTCAATCCTTCTTAAGCATGTGAAGGTGCCGAATGGTCACAGGTTAGTGTTAGCACATGCAGAGTCAGTCATGCCTTACACTAACGCCCTGCAAGCCCTTGACAGAAGGTATGGTCGTCCCTACCAGTTCGTACTGAAGGAAATAGAGACTTTGGAGAGCCTGCCGCCTATCCGTGCTTGTGACGAGCGGGCATT